CCCAGCCAGCTTTGCTGGCTGGGGAATTCTGGGAGTTGAAGTCCTCCAGGCTTAAACTTACCAAGGTTGGAGACCCCTGGACTAAAGGACAAAAGCGAAATCTCTATCAGAAAAAAAGAGATGGCTGTTTAAAAAACATAAATGCGTTTGCTTATAAGAACCCAAGCTACTGAAAGGCCAGATAAAAGTAGCACCAAGGTAACGTCTGGCTTTCTCCTGAGGGGAAAAAAGGTCGCCTCATCGTGAGGCCTAACTTGTTCTAAAAATGGTCAATCCACCCTGCGGTTATTAGACGACCCGCAGTAACGCGCTTGCAACGGATAGGATGGAGGTTTCTTGTCCGTTGGAATAAACGTTTACCACAGACCCGCGTTCTCTCACCCGCCCTTTCCCACTAACGAACCTCCAACTTCCAACTCCGCCCCATTTGAAACCCAAGTAAGGGGGAAAAAAAGAGAGAAAATCTTCCATTCTCAATTGGTTAGAAGTGCCGTCAATCCTATATATATAGATAGATATATTTAAAAAAAAAAAAAAGCAGAAGGTAATTTAAAGAAGAAGAAAAAAGGCCCGCTCAAGTTCGGAAGAGCCCGCCTGAAAATTGCGCGGGCCGCGCGTTACTTGCGTGCCGGTAGCCGCGAGTCAGCCGCCGTTTCCTCCGCAGGGAAGGCGCGGTAGGGCTAGTTTTGAGGGGTTGTTTTGTGTGTGGGGGGATCCGCTTTGAACGACGAGGCCTCGCTCCTCGTCCCGAGTCTTTTCGTGGCGGCATTTCCAGTGCCTCGTGCAAGGGCCACCTCCCTCGAGAAGGGCGCCTCACATGAGGATTTGCTTGAGGGGGGATAGTAGTTCTCAGGGGAGGTGTATAAAAAGTGACCCTTTTTTTTTCTTTCTCCCGGCCGTTGTGCGCTAATTTAAGCGGGATACCTCAGCCAACAATAGTAAGGAATGGTTCGTTATTTGTCAGTTAAAAAAAAAAAGGCAGAAGGGCCTTCGCACTGAAAACTGTTGAGGAGGAGTAACCGAGGAGAAAACCGATAGGAACTCGGCGCGTTGAGGCCGGGCGGGACGCTCGTGATGGCGGGGAGGTTGAGGCTCAGGCGAGAGTAAAAGTCGCGGTAATAATGTTCATGGAAAAAGAAAGTAGAGGTGCAAAATAGCTATAGGTTAATGGTGGATATAGCCAGATATTATTTGATTACTCCCTGCTGGAAGGCACTAGAATATCGCTCTTTTCTTTTTCTTAAAAAAAAGAAGTCAAAAATATAACCAAAATAATTAAACCAAGATTTGAAACCAAAAGCCCATATCAAAGTTATCAAAGCTATAATATCAAAGTCCAATTTAAAGAGAATTGACTTGACACTTTTTCCTAGAGCCAATCATAGTTTTCTATAGCAGCTTCTCCAATCTTGCCTCGAGATATTTTTTTTTATTACAATCCTCATTTCATCTAGTTCAACCAGAGGTGAAAAGAATTACACCTGGATGTAGATCACAGAGTTATTTTACATAGGCTTCAAAAATCGGCCTTCAACCTATAAATTTTTACGATCAGGCAGGCTCAAAATGAAAGAGGCAGCCTTTAAGTGATGACAATAAGGAAACACTATTGTTTCCGTTATTTCCAAGCCTATTTTTTCAGATTACCAAAAACCATTTGGAATTTTTATAACTTTAATTTTGGATATCAGGCTAGTGTATGATCAAATTTTATCTTAAATATCAAACAATAAATGGCAAATAAAACCTTTAAAAGCAGGGCTGGTAATTATATTTTGTTAAAATATTTTTATATCTTCATATATTTTAATCTTCAGATTCATGTCTTTAAAGACCGTTGAAAGGTGATTGCTTTCCAAACTTAAGCAATTTCTGAGCTTTCATCTAGCACACGTGAAAATGGTTATTTTTACAATATTTTGTAATATAAAAAATATAAATATTGAAAAATATTGAAAAGTCTGTAAATTGAATCTTCAGGTTTATTGCTGTTCTGTCTTATGCAGAATGAAATTATATATACTTTAAGTAAGTAATAAACTTAATTCCACTTGGTGTTTACTTGAAATTTCATTTTTGTCCACAGATATTAATCTGATCAGATTTATTGGGCTGGATGATTGATCAGTGTTCTGTTTGTGCAACCCATGTATTAAAATATTTATTTCAAAACAGTTTGATATTTCAAAGGACTACAGAACACAGTCTGAACTAAAAATCTTGTAAGTTTTAATCTTTCTAAATTATAATGTGTGCATATAAATTGTTTTTCTCTCCTCTAGGTACTTTGAACACTCTAGTATGTAAGTTTTAAAGTACAGTTGGAACAGGGCTTCACAAAGTGATCAGTATTAACCCCCAGGGTGATAGAATTACCCAAGAGGTCAATAAATGGCTGGAGGTCAGTAGGTAATCGATAAATGATGGAGAGTGGATTGGGTTTATTTAATCTTTTGGGATTGGAATGCTTTATATTATATGAACATATGAAAATTTTAATATTCACTATTTTATTTGTTAAATGTATATCCCCATCTCGCCTCAATCAGCTCAAGTAGTGTTCATATATTCCTTCTCCAATTTTCCCAACTAAAGTAACACTATGAAGTAGGTTGGGGTAAGTTATCAAGTCAGCCTCTGGGGCTAAGAATTGACTTTTACTTGACTTTATATAGCTTTGCTATAACTCACCAAACAAAATAATGCAAAGCCCTTTCTCAGAGGACTTCAACATAATTTGCAAAAGAGTTGTCCACAAAATAATTTAGACCAGTTGATATCATATTCCCATCTTAAATTATCCGTACAGTAGAGGGCTGTGCATCCAGAAAATTTCAACTGGATTTGCATGCCAGAGCCATTTGTGCTGGCAGGTGAGCTGAGGCAAATTTACCTCACTGTGCATACGCGCATTTCACATCTGATTTTCAGCCTCTCAAAGGCTTGAGGAAGGCTTCTTCGGGCTTCTACAAGCTTTGTAGGCTGAAATCTAGCCCCGTTTCCTCACTTCTGTTTTTTTCAGAAGCCTTCCTCAAGCCTTTGGGAGGCCGAAAAAGGCCTTAAACCGGCCGAAAATCAGCTGTGAGGGGTAGTGCAGGCAAGGGTGGGGCCGGGTGAGATTGCGTATCCGTGTGGGAGTGTGTGTGGAGGGCACATTGCCTTCTGGGTGCTAGCACGCACACAGTTTTTGGCACAGGAGCCCAAAAAGGTTAGCCACCATTGCCCTAAATCATGATATATGTTATCTCTCTTCAAGATTCCATTACGAAAGGAAGTCTGGATAAAGGAGGTTTTTGACATTAGATTTCTCAAAGCACTTTCTATAATCTCAGAAGGAAAATGTAAATCTTGAAGTCCATGAACATGATTTCAATTTTAATTTAATGTACAATATGCATAATTTGGATAGTTTGATTTAGTTTGCCATTCTGCAATCATTTACATATATATATAGCAGTTGATTCTTTGAGGAATGTAGCAGTAAAATCAGAAATAAACCATACAATGTATATGTTGAAAATCTATGTGATCAAAATCCCTATTTAATAAGCCAGCTTGAGAATCTTTTGCTACTCTCTGTAGGTATAGCTTTACTTTTCCTTAAAATTAATATAAAATTATTTATACATGTAAATGTTTGATTTTCATGTAAGAACTCATTTTTAAGGAATGTTCCATGTTTATAATAACTACTATTGGTTCTCAAGATGTTACAGAAATGAATGAAGAACACACAGATATAACAAATGGATGTAATAAAGTTAGATCTCGTACTCAGAATGAAGCTGCCTTATTGGCTCTTATGGAGAAGACAGGCTATAATATGGTTCAAGAAAATGGACAACGAAAATTTGGTGGACCTCCACCAGGTATTTGATTATTGCTTGATTTGAAAATACTAATTTTTGGAAAAATAAATCAAAAAATGATTAATATAGCAAAATAAAGACTATAATTATTGCCTAAGTAGTAGCCTAGTTTTGGTTAAGGTATGTGTGAAATGGGAGAATCTCTAACTCATAATAAACCATTGTATTTCAAATATTCTGCTGAACCATTTCAGGTTAGCTATGGTTGCCAGAACCAAAATCCACGTGGAATAGGTATGGGTGTACATTGTAATCTCTCTGTCCCACATAGTTCCCCGTGTGTCATACTCCATCAAACCATCTTACTTCGGCACTATTTCTTCCTTCCCACCTCTCAACTGCCAGCTTAACCCAGTAGTGGTCCACTGGCTTTCCTCCCGTTGCTTCCTAATTGTTTTGTCCAAGTGTTCCCTTCCATTGTCCCCTTATCTTCCTAAGCTGCTGATATCCTTGGCTTTTTCTCTTCTGTTCCACCATCATTTCTGTCCAGAACAAAACAGACCCATTTTATTTCACATATAGGCCAGAATCCCCCAACCAGGCATGCTTAAATTCAGAATGGATTACTCAGTAACTGCTATGTGCACAGAACATTTTTTGCACATCTGTGATGAATAACTGTGATGAATAATTGTATTTCTTTACAATATGACAATTCATTGTTAAGTTAAAATAGTTTACTTAATTTAGGCATTCCAAGTTGAACCAAGTATGATAAGGCTATATTCCTCACTATTCATATTCAATATTATATTCACTATTCATATTCAGTACTATTCACTATTCATAAATCAAAGCAGTAGGTCTTTGTTTAAATAGAAATCACTGGAATAAATTTGACCAGATAATACAAGCCATAGCTAATGGAGAACTATTGGACAATCAGTATTTGTAGAATGCACTAGCATTTTAGTTTATATAATCTGTTGGATATTACATGAAAACCTTCCAAATTGTTTTAAGATAAGTGACAATGGCATAATATGATAATTGGCTAGGATTTTTTTTTCGTAGTATCAATTAATAAAAATGTGTTGAATGTGTTTTTTAAGGTTGGGAAGGTCCGCCACCACCCCGAGGCTGTGAAGTTTTTGTGGGAAAAATTCCTCGTGACATATATGAGGATGAATTAGTTCCTATTTTTGAAAGAGCGGGGAAGATTTATGAATTTAGATTGATGATGGAATTTAGTGGTGAGAATCGTGGATATGCTTTTGTAATGTATACAACAAAAGAAGAAGCTCAGTTTGCCATTAAGACCCTTAATAATTATGAGATTCGTCCTGGAAAATTTATTGGTGTTTGTATAAGTTTGGATAACTGCAGACTATTCATTGGAGCCATTCCAAAGGAAAAGAAGAAGGAAGAAATCTTGGATGAAATGAAAAAAGTCACTGAAGGTGTTGTAGATGTTCTTGTTTATCCAAGTGCAACGGACAAGACAAAAAATCGTGGGTTTGCCTTTGTAGAATATGAATCCCACAGAGCTGCAGCTATGGCAAGGAGAAAATTAATTCCTGGTAAATATGTTCATTCTTCATGTAGAAGGTTTAATCATATACTTGTTAAGAACATGTATGTTTAAATTATACTAAAAGCTACTCAGTATGCCAGAGTGCCAGATTCCTTTGCTTCTATCAAGAAGTCAAGGCATAGATTTTGAAAAAAAATAAACATGCCTGACGTGTATTAAGCTATCCCTGGTTGTAGGTTTCTCTTTTGCAGTCTTCTTTTCTAGAACCTTTCGTGTTAAAATTATAAATACCTCCCATTTTCTACTAAATGTAGATATTTGTATATTGCTTTTCTAAAAGTGAATACTCTTGATTTGAAGGCAAGGTACAGCAGAGAGGAAATCTCAGTATTTTTTGTAAAGATGGTGGAAGTTATAGGTGACATCTGCATGAACACTATCATGATCTATGTTCAGGTTATATCCTAGAGGATTAAGAAAACATGGTTTAGACTTTGGCAAATTAGCCAAGATAGCTGATGATATGCATGGTATTCTTACTGTTAATTCAGCCATGGACTATTCCTCTATTCTGCATTATTACAGTGAGATTATATGGACCTCAACCCCTTATTATTCATGGTATAAACTTAATTTGAAGTTTAATTGCTTTATAAACTTAAATTTAAACTTAAATAAATGTACTGTATTTGGGTTACATAGAGGCAATCAATTTTTGCAGTTAAAAGGCTTAATATTCAATGTTTTAATAGACTTTTTAGAACAGCTGTGCTCTCAGCTCATGGTATAGGGAAACAAATAGTTTTAGAAATAAGATTGCAAAAAGCAATCCTGACAAAAATTATGTCATAAACCACTTACCTCAATCTCTGTTTGACTTGATATTTTATCTAATTAGTTTAGATTGCCTGAGTTTTGTAAGCAAATTTGCAGTTGTCGTTTAGACATGTTTTTGATGGGCTAAAACAGGTCTCCAACACACACACACACACACACACACACACACACACACACACACACAGGGTCTGTGGACCGGCGTCAGTCCACAGCATGCCAGAAACCAGTCTGCACAAACAAGCAAAACCCCATCAGTGGGATGCAGGCATCAAAAACTCTTTGGTCTGTAGAAAAACCTCCACAGAACCGATCCCTCATGCCCAAAAGGTTGGGGGCTGCTGGATTAAAAGGCAGGCAGACAGGGTGTACTCTATGTTAAGTGCCAGTTGTTAAAGTAAGAGAAAATACCTACCTGGCATACGACCAGTGGGCATAAGAAAAATGCCTACTCAAAACAAGGAAGAGTGCAATACAAAGCTTTGAGTAATTGCTGGTAAAAGCAACGTAGCTTACACAATTGCTTGTAGTACTATTATTGGTCAACTGCCACAGCCAGGAAAGGGCAGCAGGGGTAGTACCCTGACATGTTAATGCTCTATATTACTGGAAAGCTAAATGACCGGCAAGTCAGGAGACGCTGTCTTGTCATGTGCTGTGTTAGCATCTCAATCACCTCTGATGCTTCACTAACCAGGCATGTTTTAGGGCTCTTCAGACAGGCTCTTAAAGCTGTTATAGCGACCATTTTCCCAGGGTTTAGAATGTCCATTTTTGCATTCTATATTAGAATTGTGTCAATATGGTTTAAATCTGCAAGAACCACTGATCAGGAATCCAGATTAATAACAGCATTAAGAGAGCAAGTGGCAGACTCCCAACCTCCAAAATTATACCTCATTTTCCTTGTATTATTTCTAGCTTATTTTCTACCTTTTACTCACTTTTTCCTTCACGTCTTTTCTTTAAAATGCTTCCCCATTGCCCTGCTTTAAAGGCTTCTTTTGATATGGGGGAGATGTTACAAAGCAAGAACTTGGTAGGAAAGAATTGAACGAAGAGGGGAGAATGTGTTTTGGGATGTTTCATGACATTTATTAAGGACTGTTTTACTAGCTGCCATACTTTTGAAATCCAATTGGTTTTCCTAGGAGTGAAGGTTCAGCAGCAAATTTTCAACAGAATCAAATATAAATAGCTCAGGGTTTAACTATGGAATCTACGATGATCTCTGAGAGTGGTTATTTGCTTGCAGATTGTTAACCTCATCGGTGCTAGAGCAAATTATACACCTACTAGCACTGATGATGTTGGGTAATAAAATGTCTGCAAGCAAACAAACAAGCTTAGAGAACACCAAGAATTCAACAGTAGCCTTTTCCCAGTTGCCTTGCTTCCATTTAATGAGGGGAATTCAGATTGCAACATTGCCAGTCAGCTACTTGGACTTTTCAGAACCAGCAATTTAAGTTGCTAGAGTGCATTGCAAAAAGCCATACCTAACTGGATAAAGTTTGTTTTTCCAGCAATTACTGATACTTTATAATTCAGCAGTCACCAACTGATGGTCCGCAAGAAAATTTTGATGGTCCGCAGAAAAACTATTTGCATTTTTTATATGGCACTAAATCAGGGGTCCTCAAACTAGGCCCACTGAGCCGGATACATGCAATGAACATTTGTGTTGCTGCAGAGAGTCTTCCCCTTTTTGTGCAGGTTGGAGGGGGGCAGAAATTCCGACTTGGGGTCTGTTTCAGCCTCCTGGTGCGGGGCTTTGGGTGAAGGCTGGAGGGAAGTGCCGCTGGTGGCAAAGAGCTGGAGAGCCTTGTTCCAATGGGACTGCATCATGGCCTGGAACTGGCTGATCATCTCAGCTCGCTAAGCCTCCAGGCGACGGTACCTGGCCTTGCACTGCAGGTGTTCTCTCTGCTTGCAAAGCCTATGCTGGTAGCCTTCAGTGAGTTGCTTCTGCTGAGCCTCCTTCTCGGTCAGATCCAATTTGAACTGAGCCAGCTGTTTTGCCAACTCATGATGGCTGCTTTAGTTCCAACAGCTGCTTCCTGTTGGGACCCTAAGGAGCCCGGGCAGGCAGGTGAGGAATAGCTGGGAGGGATGGGGCGAATAGAGGCCAGCGAGGCACCCCTCAAAGTGACTGACATGAAGTTGGCCAAGCCCACCCAGTCACATGACCACCTGGTCACGCCCACCCAGCTGGTCATTAGGCAGATCATAGTAGTTCGCGGGATTTAAACTTAGGAATTTTGTGGTCTCTAAGGTCCAAAAGGTTGGTGACTCCTGTTACAATTCATAGAGGTCTAACAAGTTTATTAACTTATGAATCACAGTACCACACAGTGAATGCCCCTAAGTTAATGTCATAAAATTCATTACCATAAGATTTCTGTTAGAAAATTTTATTTCAATTAATTTCTTATGATAATTAATTTTAAAATACATTCCCTTAGTGTCCTTGGAGTTTAAATCTAATGGCAATTTACTGTATCTTCTATTTTGTTCAGAATATGTGTTTTTTTAAATTCTTTTAAGTATAGTCTATTGTGTTGTGTATTTTTCTTCAAAACTAGGAAAGGGGAGCAAAACTACTACTATTTTAAAAAAAAAACTGATGAAGAATTTTTTTTTTTTGTAGGAACTTTCCAGTTATGGGGACACACTATTCAAGTAGATTGGGCAGACCCAGAAAAAGAGGTAGATGAAGAAACAATGCAGAGAGTAAAAGTACTTTATGTTAGAAACTTGATGATGTCAACCACAGAAGAAACAATTAAGGCAGAGTTTAATAAATTTAAACCTGGAGCTATTGAACGGGTAAAGAAACTTCGAGATTACGCGTTTGTTCATTTCTTCAATCGAGATGATGCAGTTGCTTCTATGTCAGTTATGAATGGAAAATGTATTGATGGTGCTAGCATTGAGGTAACACTAGCCAAGCCAGTGAACAAAGAAAGCACTTGGAGACAACATCTTAATGGCCAAATTAGCCCCAGTTCTGAAAATCTTTTAGTCTTTACAAACAAAGAAGATGGTCATCAGAAATCACTAACAAAACCAGCAAATCTTCCAATACGCCTTAATGGGCAGAATAGTCCAAGTCCTCCTGAAATTGAAAGATGTACTTACCCATTTTTTCCAGGAACAAAACTTACTCCAATTAGCATGTACTCTTTAAAATCTAGTCATTTTAGTTCTGCTGTGATGCAGTTAGATTATTATTGCAACAAAAATAACTGGGCACCTCCAGAGTATTATTTGTATTCGACTACAAGTCAAGATGGAAAAATTTTGCTGGTATATAAAATTGTTATTCCGGCGGTTGCAAATGGATCCCAGAGTTATTTTATGTCAGACAAACTCTGCACAACAGTAGAAGATGCAAAAGAGCTTGCAGCACATTTTGCACTTATGCACTTGGGTAAGTTTTAAAACTTCGGTTTTAATTTTAATCATTTAGCACTCAATTATTATTTTTCCATAACTTATCTAAAATGCCCATTCCACTAAGTAGGCACCTTCTTCAGAAACATTTGTGGCATTTCAAGTTTTTCTCCCATTCAGAGGTATGTGTGTATGTGTACAGTAAAAATACTATCACCTCAGGATGTACTAGTGTATTTTAAACTTATTAAGAAGCAAATCACATCTTGCTGATTACTTTAAAAAGAAATCTTCGTAGCAAATATAGAGAGTTAATATTTTTAGAATTATTTTAGATATACAGTTTGCTTCTATCCATAGATTCTTTGCCTTTAAGCCATATAACACTGAGATATTATTTCTAGTGTTATTGAAAAGGCAGTTAATTTGGATCTCTAATATCTTTTCCTATTTAAAAATGCTATCATTAAAAAAGGTTCAGTAGAAAAAAAATGAAGCAATGTTTGGGAATTGATTTTCATACCTAATTTCTTTTTCCTTATGGTTTTAAGAAAGTTAAATTTCACTTACGTTAATTATAGTATAAAGTTTGGATCTCCTTTTTTAATTACATTTGACATAAGTCTACAAGATAGTAACCTTTTAAAATCTTTAAAAACTTCTTAGTACTTAACAGAGAAGAGATGGAAACACTGTAATTTTTATGGTAATAGGTAAAGAAGTCCCTGCAGGTTTTATTCTGTTAGTCATAGCTGACTAGCGGGTGGTACTCATCTCCGTTTCTTTAATCCCTTGATCCAGAGCTGTATGAAGACATTTCCTCAGTCATGCGGCCAACATGACATCACGCTGCAGCGCACAGTGTATGGTGAAACTTGGAACGCTGCTATTTTCCCACTGAAGTACCTATTTACAGGGTGAATTTGATTTAAATCACGATTTAAATCATTTATCACTAGTAAAAAGGCTTGATTTAAATTAACTTGATTTAAATCATAATTTTTAAAGAGCAACTGTCATCTTTGTCCTGCAGCGGCTCCTCCTTTGACCCACTGTTGACTCACCGACAGTCCCATTCATTTTTGTGGGATGGCTGGTGATGCGGCAGTGACACAACAAGGTGAGGCGGGCAGCAGGTGAGTGGATGCCCGCTAACAGGCGCTGCCATGATGGAGCTGAAATCTCAGGTCCTCTTTAAATGTAAGGACTCATTCTCGCTGTTATTTAGAATATTTAATATGATTTGCAAACAAAATGAAGGTTTCCTATTTAGCTTGCAGAGCTTGGATTCATTGAATGAGTTTATCAAAAATGTAAATATTGCCTCATGCTACATAACTAACTCCTTTTCATGCTGAATAAACTAAATTATTAATGTATCTTAAATAGAAAACTACCTTTGGATAGATTTTTTTTTCTCCAAAAGCATTTTATTAAAATAAATGTGATTTTAAAAATCCGATTTAAATTTTAAAAATCTATTTTTTTAAAAAAAAAACATCAATTTTTACGCACCCTGCCTATTTATCTACTTGCATTTACATGCTTTCAAACTGCTAGGTTGGCAGGAGCTCACTTCGTCACTCTCTCATGCAGTAATATAAGTATAGATCTTCTCTGGCATCTTAAACCACTGAGCCATTGCACCTCTCAATTTTTGTAGTAGTCAATGGTGTTTTTATTTGAAAAAACACTTCCTTGTTATGGCAACTTACTTGATTTCTCAAGCTGGATTTTCACATCGCACTAAGCCCAAAACATTTGAATTTACTGCAGTATGATTCATTACAAATGGAAGTTTTTGTTTTTCATGTATTGTACTATCAGATAGTTTAGTGTGATAATGTGAATGTAATTTATGTGAAATAAAAAAGGGTGATCTATTCATCCTCTCCATTTTGCTCATTCTGCTCATAATATGTCGAACAACCAAAAGCAAGTGGTTAAATATAACAGTTAAATTTATAAATATATTTGGTTGTGGTTATATAACATTAAGCCCATAAATCATAAGTATAAGTATAATGAGTTCTGAAACATAGTAGAGCCATAGCACACTAAAATAATCAATTTATGTCTTTTGCAATCATGCAAAGGGAGGCTGTTTTCAACTTTTCTGGTCAAGCACATCTGGTAAATGGGAAATAACAAGCTTGCTATTTCATGTAGTAAATATGTGAAATATGAATATTGATATATTCTGGATATGTTTATGAGAAAAAGTTTTTGCTGAAAAATAGAGATAATATAGAAATACTGTCATTTGCTTATGCTACTTTATAGCAATGTATTTTATTTAGCTCATTTTGTCTTCATTATGTGCCTAGAGAAATGGATAGATCTGGAGGTAATCCTTAATTTGTTTTGTTTTTGTAAATGCTACTTAATTTATCAGTGATAATAGATTCGGTTTGATATTTAAGGGAGCTGGATCGATTTCCTTTATGCAACAAAGAAAGGGTGGATTTTTAAATTTTAAGATTCCCCACTCCCGCAATATTATATAGAAAAACAGCTGGAAAGTGAATAACTCTTCCATCAATGAAATTTAATAAAGGAAACATTAAATGGAAAAAATTCAAATAGGCCCAATTATTTAGGGAAAAGTTTGAAAATGAACTGTAGCTAGAATATATTTGTTCATGGAGATGCTATAAAGCACGAGGAGGATATGTGATTAAAATATATATTGCCTAAGAAACTGGATAAAAGTACAATTAAAGGAAGTTGTAGTTTATAAAAGTATATCAAAACTGAAAGGAACAAGTTTTTTGAAATGAAAATGTGAATCTTATATATTAAATATGAATGTATAAGCTCACAACTTGAAACAATTAAATTAATCAAATTATGGTATGGCTTTATTTTTATTGGAACTTACTATTAATTTCTTTCTGACAAGTAGACTATTAGAGTAATATGTTGAAATATTGAACTGAAAAATACTGAAACAGTTTGCTAAAATTCAAATTTTCATTTTGTTTAATCTTGATCATCAGTCTTTTTTGAATATGGGAGATATCTACTGTCTCTCGCAATTGGGAAAAGCCCATGGACTGGTCTTATATATTGTAAACTTATAGTTAATTTAAATAAGCTATATTTAGTGTTAATACCTCCAATATTTATTCATACCATTCTGAAAAACAAGTTACCTTTGTTACTTGTTTGCTTCCCTTAAAAAGTATTTTATCATTTCCAACAATTACAGACTAGTCTCACATATTAATATGCTATTTTCCCATTGATTTTATATTTGCAAACAACATATATCAGACATACTACTCCAGATAAGATACTGAAATATAATGAGATTTTAATAAACATAAACTATGCTTTTCTCAGGACATTGCATAGGTTTTTATGGTAACTTTTTATTTAGCAGTTATACCCTGATTCCAAAACTACCTTTAGAAAAAAGGATCTGAGTGAAAAAGGGAACTAACTCATAAACATTCCTCATGGTGCTTACTAATATGATAGTACATTATCTGAAAAAGTTGACTTTGTAATGTTTACTGCTTAATTGTAAAAAAAATCTACATTATTTTAAATAAAATCTCTACACTTTACATAAACAACTATCATGATTTACATTATGAGAAATTGGTATTAGGTGAAAACTTTGGTCATATTTTAAACATTTTTTAAATAAATAAGAATATTAAAATGTTCAGTACTTTTGATGATTTTATATTAAGCGAAATGAAAATATATATGCAACATTTGACTTCATTCTTATATTCTAAACCTGCGTATTGCACATGTTAGTTTACAGTGACAGCATAATACAGTAAACCTTATGGATATTGGGTTTGTAACCTCTTCCATAGCAAGATAATTAAAAACATAATGTATGTATCTGCAACATTAATGCCCTCTTAATAGTTTTATCTAAAGGATTATATATACATAAAAAGAAGTGAAATATATAGTATGGACTACTGCAGTTAAATTAGTCCCAGAATTTCAAACACTTCAATGAAGATTAATATCACCTTTGAAGAGTGTTACATTCTGTCTCCACCACTTGCAGAAAGGGTACATAACTTCCAGTCTGGATCTGCGTAGGAAAATTTGGACAAAGTAAACAGGTAAGTAACTTAAGTGAAGCAAACATGAGTAAAATTGGTGCTTGATTTAACTCTAGCAATTTTTTGGTACTGTATTTGACATTGATATAATGTCATTGATACTGTCCAGTTTATATTGTGAGCATTGCATATTCAAAATTACAATGTTCAAATTTTCAGTTAACTGTAGATAAGAGAATAAGAATAGAATGTATGCTAAATTCACAAAATAATCTGAATATATTTATAGAAATATGCTATCAGAATTTTTTTTAATCAATTTCTTATAGCTTTTACTGAATATTTGTTTTTAAAATTTCACCCAGCAAATTCAGATTACTCTTTATGATCTATATTTTTATATTGCTTTTGAAGCTATGCTCATATGTGATACTGTTATAAATATTAAGTATTATGTGCTGTAGTTATTAGACGTGAAATTTATGTTCGAGTGGGAAAAAAACTTGGGAAAATATAAGGTTCAATAAATTAAATTAGAAATTAAAACATTTAAAACTATTTTAACCTGACTAACCTAATTGTATATAATCAGCTCTATAACCTTAAAAGTAGTAAAAAAGCAGAAAGAATGTTTTTCTCAAAGATGTTGAAGTTCAGTAAAATAGATGTTATGTTTACTTTGTCTCGATAAGATATTTACACAGCATTCAGTTCAATAATTGCAAAATTATTGCAATATAGCATTTATGGTAACTATGTCAAATTACCGTAAGTGTATTTTATTGCCTGATGATGGAATGAAAGAGGCTCATTCTATGATTTTAATAGTGTTTTGTTTAGGCTTATATTGAAATTATTATTTCAGCCTCACTTGTTATCTTATGATGTACTATATCATTTTTTTAGGGAAAATTACTTTCTATTGAGTAATACTTAAGGCTACAATTGGGCACAAAATTTCCATTGCTAAGCAAGGCACTTATTAAGGGAGTTCAAACATTAAACAAATGGTTGTAAGTCAGGGAGAATATATTATGCATAGCAGTGCCCATGTATTGCAAAAGATTTTAATAATTATACTTAAAAGCCCTGCTTTAGATCTAAAAGCTGTCACTGCTGTCTTTAAACATTGGCTGTGTAATACGACTAAGAATGCTGCCACTTTATTTTTTTCTGAATAGTTTATTGCTAACAAACACCCATGTTCCACCTCAATTATAAGCCCAACCCTAATTTTGGGGGTGTGGGCCTAATCTTACTCCTACCTCAAAAATAAGCCTGGGGGAGATGGGCGTGGCCGGCACAAGTTGCAGCGTGGTGGGGGGCGGAGCAACTGTCCGGCTGCAGCCCGCTGCCTCTTGGGGCAGCACAAATACCGCTTTTGCCGTTCTCTTTCTGGGTGCTGCGCTTCTGCTTGTTGGGCCGCTTCCCTGAAGCCAGCAGCTCCGCGGCCAACTGCTTTGCTTTTTCCCTCTTTCGGAGGCTCACGGGAGGAAAATGGGGAGGGAAGATTTTCCTGCCTGTCTATTCCTCAAGCTCAGCACAGACTGAGGGTAGGATGGCAGGCAGGAAAATACCCCCTCCCAATTTCTCCCCCCCCCTTTGCCAAAAAGCCTCCATTCCAAATGCTGAAGGTTTGAAATGGAGGTGACAGTGCATCCCCAGCGCATCCAGTTCACTGAGTCTGGCCTGCTGCACCTCAAAAAAAGTAAGACCGCCTCGAAAATAAGCCCAAGTGCTTGTTTTCAAGTCTAAAAGAAAATAAGACTCGGCCTTAGTTTCTGAGAAACACGGGTATGAAATCTTAAAGGCAAAGGTTAAACAATCTTACTTTTTGAAAGATTATTTTAATTTTATTGTGACAGGAAAATAATTTCCTTTTGCTTATGCAAAATATAAGATGTAACTAAAAGTTTAAATGAAGATGTTTACATTTCCAATACCATACATTTATCAATAATGTAGTTTTGATTATACCTAGAAATAAACCCTATTGTGTAAATGAGATTTATTTCCAGGAAATGAATGTATGCCTCCAATCCAAAGACATTAAACACGACCTAATTAAATATATAGATATAAATATATATCAACAACAGGGGGCGCAATGGCTTTATTGGTTAAATATGAGCTTGACAGCCTGAGTTTGGTACCTGAGCACTGTGCAATGGAGTGAGCTCCCATTACTTGCCTCAGCTCTTGCCCACCTAGCAGTTCAAGAACATGCAGATAGATAAATAGGTATGACTTTGGTCGGAAGATAATAGCGATTGGTGTATAGACATGCTGGCCACATGACTATGGAAATGACTTCAGACAATGCTGGCTTCCTCCGTTAAGAAGCAGAGATGAGCACCACTCCCTAGAGTCAGATACTACTGCACAGAGGAAACCTGTACTTTTACCTTCATACTAATATCCATGGTTTGGGTTTTCCTAAGAAAACAGTGTTGAATCCTACTCCCTGTCTGCAAATTGTAAGGTTTTAAATAATGTGCATTTGTGTATAATCATTAAATATCTATAGCTACTTGGAACAGAATATTTTTGTTATATTTCATAACAAGATTTTGTAGTCAGTTCTTGCCTTTCAGTGCTTTTTTCCTATTAAAATATGTAACAGTGTTTAACAGTCAAATATTAATTATGTCATGTAAGTTATGTTAGAATAGTGTATACTATGGATGTATTGGACAAGTTGTAGGAATTAATCAAGTTACAGGTTGATTCTTCAAATTAATCAGGTTACAGGATGGTTCTTCAGTCTTCATTTTTTTCTCATTGAAACATTCAGAGTTATCTAGATTTTAGCCAGTAGCTTGATTATGTGAAGAATCATAAAAGTTCTACATTTAATTCATTATATTAACATATATTAAGATAGTAATATTCATTCTTCTGAGGGGATTTGCATAATGTGTTTAGTTTCTTACGTTGAGGAATGGATGCAGTGCAATTACCCCATTGAGATTTTATACTTTATCCTAGTAGGAGGAAATGCCTTCCTAGAATTTGCCTAGGAAGAAATGCTGTTTTTGTTCCCAATTGCTGAATGAAAAAGGTAGCTTGTGTATGCATAGTAGTTTTGCAGAAGTCACTTATAGCTTTTGGAATTGTTGGACCTTGAAATGACGTGCTTTGCTTTTGTAAAAAAAGATGGTTAGACCTTTCAATTTGCAAAGAGTGCTTCATGTGAAATTTCATCAAAACAAGGCACTACAACAAGGCACAACTCAATACAAAAGGTTTAGAAAGTCTGGATCAAAATTGCATTTATGTAGCAGCCTGCAGTGTAATTCCTATATTTTTGAGTGGCAAGAGTTAGAATAAGAAGTATTAGAATAATAATAAGAAGAGTTAGAATAATAAGAGGGGAATTATGCTGATCATTATGATTTCTCCAGTTTTCTTTTGAAGTTGATATTCATGCTGCATAAATTTCTTTTGCAGAATACAATTTTTGTCGAAATCCAGTAAATAACATTTCTCCTGTTAGTGCTACGCTTTCTTCCGGAACAACTAGTGTATTACCATATACATCAAGACCATATTCTTATCCAAGCTATCCCTTATCATCATCAATTCCGCTTGCTAATAGCAACCATGTTGGACAGCGTTTGTACATCTCCAGTCAGGCCTCATTCTTTTGAGGGGGAAAAGGCTGGATGAAAAAAAAAATACCTTTTTTTTAAAAAAACCCCTATAATGTAGTTTTAGTTTTAATTGGGTTTATACAATTGCTTTTGCTTGGTTATTTCATATTGCTTATAAATTATAGGTCAGAAAACCCATTTAAATGTTTTTTTAAATAATTTTTCTCATTAAATAGAAGCTTTAAAATATTTTAAATGCATGCAATTGTTGTAATCTTGTTACCAAGGATCCATTCTTTGGAGATGTAAAGTAGTATTTGGTCAAAAGCAAGGTATTATGTAAGAAGGAAATGATGCACAGTATTTTTTTTTAAAAAAACCCAGAAATCTTAACTCCAAACATAAACATTTGGGGTCCTTTAAAATTATATTGTATATTTTAGTTGCATGATATTTTATTAATCCACAGTTTACATTGTTAAATTTTATTTGTTAAAAATATTGTTGTATTTGCATGTTGTAATGTTTTTAATGTTCATATCATGTGTTTAATTCCCAACTTAAATACAGTCGCTTTGGCATTAAAATCTTGCTGTATTAAAATAGTTTGGATTCCTTTTTGATATTGAAAGTAAATATTGATAAAATTCAAAGTTTATTTTTTTCTCCTGTAACAATTAAGCATGAGCAAACAATAGGCAAATACAAAAAATAGCATGAAATTTTCTCTAGTTTGTGGATCTGAAGCTATTTGAACCCTCACCACAGGATTAAGATTTTAGATGTTTCTGTAGAGAGACAACGTTGTATGTTTGTATTCTCTAGTTGGTTAAAGTAATAGTTCTGCCTCTGACCTTTGAGTGGCAAAGCTGTTTCTTGTAGCAGAGAGAGAACTGTAATAAAATTGTAGAATTATAATAAAATTTATTTTGCAAGCCATAGTATATAATGCTTCGTTTATACTGCAGAAGTTGATTCCCTATTCCATTAGACCTAATTAATACAGGAATCAGGCAAAAAAGAGGAGCAATATTCTTTCATAAGAGAACTCACCAAATCAATTTGAATTTGTTCAAATTTATTTCATTTATGAATTTAAAATACGCTGCTATGTGCCAGCAGAAGAAACATTTTTTGTTGGGAAAGTTTCACGTATTTTATTGCAACAAAAGAAATGTTGCATCTTTTAGAGGTCATTACATCTTCTAATGTGGGTACCCATTGACTCCAAAGCAAGATCTAATAATGAGTGCCTCATTATTTTAATCTGATTACATTTGTATTCATCTTTTCTTTCATTTTATCTAAGGAAAAAATGATTGTTCCATGACCTTCAAATAATCTAAATACCATAATAGCAATTGGGAATATTGTAAACATTTTTATACATTGTATCAACATATTTTTCTCTCTTCCCATAAGGTAAATTTGAAAGGTATCTGCATAATTCTGCCTCAGATTACAGATTAACAGAGTTGGAAGGGACCTTGTAGGTCATCTAGCCCAACCCCCCACCCAAGCAGGAGACCCCACACCATTTGTGACAAATGGCAGTCCAATCTCATTTCCCAAAGAAACGTTTAAGCTATAACAATACCCAATATTTTTAGATTTTATTCATATGATATTTAAATGTGCTCTCTAGATAAGAATGTAGATAGAAATTGTTTTAAATGGTCTGAAAGTCTCTTGAAAGTGGAACACATAATGAGGTCATGAATGTCTATTGTTATAGTGGGGCTCACAGGCAGATATTTAGACTGGTTTGGAGATTTTTGTTCACCTATGAAATCCTTCCCAAGGGCTATAATTTTCAGCATTTTTTTTTTGCTGGTTTCCAGTATTCTGATTTCTAGCAATATCAACAAATGGGGGGAAATTAAAGTTTGTTTAATGACTGGTATTCAATTGACTGCAATAAAAAAGGTTATAGCATCTCCTGCAATTATATTGTGACCCACTTAATAACCACAACTTACAACCATAATTCCTAACTCAGTTAGAATCATACATTGAGGACTAATTGTTGCTTCAGTACAAGTTCTTCACTGTCCTTCAGATATTCTTACAATGACCAACTATCTCCTTGGTAAACAGCTTGTCAGTGTAATTGTGTGGATGAGGGGCATGATTCATTGCCATTATTTTTCTGGTCTTCCCACCCAAAACAACCTCAGCTTGCGTCCAGTCCGTTATTCAGCTGCATATATATGACTGAAATTGCCCAAGTGTTAATTGCCTTGATGATATTTCCATCTCTGAGTTTAGACTTTTAAGATTTTTTTCATTCTTCTGATGTATTCATTTCTATCTTTTTTTTTTTTTGACTTCAGTGTACTTGATGCTGTTAGCCAAAAGGATGGCCAGATATTTGTAATGATTGTCTGCTTCTGTAGTCCAATTTAGCATCCACAATTGTGTTAAAATCTCCTATCATACATATATTTTCATCGTCTATTTCAGTTATCTTCTTATGGAGTTTCCTTCTTAGGGAGGGAATATGGCTGTCAGCAAAATATGCAACTATTAAAGAAGAAAATTATACTAAACAGAACAAATAAAATTGGATCTGGAGAAATGGAAAAACCTATAACTATTGATGGTAGGATGAATAGCTACAATAAAAACGAATGTTCTACTGAAATTATTCTTGATCCAAACAATTCTGATAAAACTTGGAAAAAAAGTTTTTTGAGAACTTAAATAAAATGATCTTAAAATATATTTGGCACGGGAAAAGAGCAAGAATAAGACTGAAAATGTTACAGGAAGCTAAGAATAACCTTCCCCCCCCCCCCCCCCCCGCAGAATGGCAATGTTCTGACAGGGATCTGACACTGTTGTAAATTCACATTTGTCATATAAATTATAACGTTTCAATTAACATTCTATGTAATTAAAAAAAACCAGTACTTATAGAAAAATAAAGTTTATTACATACAAATATTTTCAGGTCAAAATACCACAAGCAATAAATATATTTAAAGCATCTAAAAGAAAAATATTTTGTTGAAATAAATCAAATATAACACAACACAAGAAAAGTCCTTCTGTACAGTAAAAATTGTCTAAATGTCTTGTTTAGTAGTAAAAAAATTAATATTGCAGCTTTTTTTTTCACTTTTTAAAATTATTATTATCTCCTAGCTGTTTTAAATTGGTGTTGGAGACTGTATAGTTTTGCTATTTTTTTTCTGCCTGAATAATGCAACTCCTAAATATGCCTTTTAAATCAGAACAAGTGGTCTAAACATAACGCTAAACAAATTACAGCCATAGACTTTGCCATGATACACGCAAACGTGGCTAGAAGCTCCCAAGGTCTCCTAAGCCACCCAGTCGCCTTGGAGTGAGATGGGCAGCAAACAAATTTAACAAATATCAAAGTGGAAAATTACTTCTTTTGTGTCAAACTTTTTAAGTCCACCCCCCCACCCACCCCAAAATGATAAAGTCACTATGAAAAGCTAAAACTGATTGCTGTAGGGGGGAAGCAATAGATTTAACAGAGTTGGAAGAGACCTTGTAGGTCATCTACCCCAAGCCCTTACCCAAGCAGGAGACCCTACACACCATTCCTGACAGATTCATGAATAAAGAATTTTTAAAAATGGGAATGAGGAAAAAGAAAAAAGTCTGAAGCCCCTCAAAAAATTCTTTAAGTTAACTTATTATTAGGAATCCAATCCAAAGGTGGGATTCACATTTCTTAACAACCGGTTCTGTGAGTGTGGCCTAATTTGTGGGTGTGGCTTGGTGGGTATGTGACTGGGTGGGTGTGGCTTGCTGATTGGGAGTGGCCTGGTCACATGACTGGCTGGGCGTGGCTTGTGTGTAAATATTGTAAATATTTATGTAAATATTGATTTTGTTTTTTAATAAAAAAGAGCAACTTTTACCCAAAATCAGGCAAAGCAAGCAGGCAGATGGAGTTGCTTGCAGAATCACAGATTCACAGATCTAGCTTTTCTGCAATCTGCTGCCTGAGTCTGTCACATAAAATTTGCTTGCAAGCAAACTCAAAATTAACTCACAACACATCATGTATGTAAATATTGATTTTTTTTAAATAAAGAGCAATTTTTACCCAAAATCAGGCAAAGCAAGCAAGCAGATTGAGTTGCTTGCAGAATCACAGATTTACTCACAAATCTAGCTTTCTGCAATCTACTGCCTGAGTCTGCACTGAAAAATAGAAGCTTCAGTCCCTAAGGAAGGTTCAGCTCTTCAGAAGATTTGCCGGTTCTCCGAACTGTGCAGACTTGTAACTACCAGTTCTATAGAACTGGTCGGAATTGGTAGAATCCCAACCCTGATCTTATCTAAATTATGACATATGACATGTAGACTATTTGAAGGGCTGTTAGAATCATAACCAATCCTGTCTCTGTTTATATCTTATCAGCTGACATTCTCTTATCTCTTTAAGGTAACAAGCCATTTGGATAGAGCACTGTGTTTTTGAAGAGAAGTTCCCAGAATTATTCTTGATACACTTGCATATTAACAGCATAAATAAAGGTGTATGTATACTGACAATCCAAATCACCATTCACAGAGAAGAAAAGTGCAAGAGCCAATTCAATTGGGTTAAAATCAGTTGTTGTGCAATAGTGATTAAGTGAGGGCAAAACGTTCAACTTCTCTCATGGACGTCTCAATAGCTTCTTGAGGACACAGCCTTGCCAGGTGGGCTCCAAGGAGGTGAAGTTTCATCCTCGAGAATAACCTGAAGTTTTTTTGGTTTTGTGTGCATACTTTCGTCCATCTCTTTCTTTTCCTGTTGAAAGTGAAGTAGATTGTGATAATTATTAGCACAATGCATGGATAAATGCTAATTAGTTTGACATTATTTTGTTCAACATTATCTTAGCTTCCTTTACAAAATTACAAAGCCACTGTCATGCCTATTTCTGTGCACTTATCTTTTCACTTTATCATGTTTTAGTAAAGTGGGACAGTGCAGCTGAAATAAATTCAACATTTTCATGTAATTCTAACATTATAATGCCTTACTGATTTTGTTATAGCTTCAAATGAAAATAATGATCTATGCAGAGCCTATTTTTGTTCCTATTTATTAATCTTTTCTAACACTTTCTTCCTTCAAAACAAGTCTCTAAACAAGAAAAATATCTATTTAGTGCTAATTATAAATGCATAGTTTGATTTTTATTATTTTTGTTTGCAATTGCTATTACCGGTAATATTTTTTACAAAAACATATCCTCAGAGAAACAGATTTCTCCTGAGGTGGGCTGCTGCCGGTTCGGGTGAACAGGTAGTTAAGATTCTGCGCAGTTCAGCAAACTGGCAAATCCCATCACTGACTGGCTCCACCCCTGCTCGTTTTTGGGCCTGTTTTGGGGCCATTTTCAGGGTGTTTTTTGGGCCAAAAACAACCCAAAACTGACCTGAAAACACCCCCAAAAGCAGCCCAGAAGCAGCCTAAAAATAGCCTGGTTTGGGGGCATTTTCAGGCTGTTTTGGGGCCATTTGGGGGGCATTTCCAGGCCATTTTAGCCCCCCAAATGGTTCCAAAACAACCTGAAAATGCCCCCCCAAACATCCTGAAAAACATCCTGAAAAAATCCCGAAAAACAGGCCAAAAAACAGGCATGGTGGGGGCCAGCCAGTGGTGGGATTAGCCCCAATCAGCTGAATCCTACCTCTGCCTTTGAGGTGAGTGGCCAAGAGGAGGGGCCACCCACCCAGTCACATGACCAACTGTTCTGCTTGATTGGTGTTTCTAATATCTTCTGTCTGTTTTGTGGCTTTTTTTTGGTCTTGATTGGCTGGCAACATTGTGTTTCCTGTATTGGAGGCTTTTAGTGCAGCTTGGCTCCGAGTAAATGGACGGCTATCATTTATTAGGAAGCTAGGTTTCATCTGGGTGCCTGGTTGGGGTGTATTTGAGCTGGAGGTATCAGAGGGAGTTTGTTTGTGCCCAGATGTTTGCTTGGCTTGTGGTGTGGAGATTTTTTTTGTTTGTGAGTGCAGGCTTCCAGAGGTGACAAGTTTCTAGACAACTGGCTCCACTCCTCCAGTTGTATATCATATGCAAGTTATATAGAATCAGTATAGGATTTAATATATTCAGGTTATATCAAAAAGGATTACTTGTACCAACTTCCTCCCCCTTCTTCCATTGAAGAATGGCAGATACATGGATCTGACACAGGCATCTTCAGTATTTTAATTCTTTTAAAACAGACAATATTTGATTTACAACAGTTCCTTTAGTGACTGTTTAAAGTTACCATGGCACTGAAAAAAGTGACTTCATTCCTTGCCCTTATAATTTAGCAAAATTTGGTCATGTGATCAAAATTTGAGTGCTTGGCAACTGGCATTTACAGTAGTTGCAGTATATAATAATGATATGTTGCAATATGTCAGATTTTTTTTAAATATAAATTTGTCATCCAGTTAATTCTCCACAGTTACAGAAAAGGGGAAATATATGGGTCACACTGTAATCTTCAAAAAAGTAATAGTGCATTCTTTTTTAAAATCAAAACAAGGATAAGAAAATAAGAAATAATACTTCATTGGTTTAAATTAAACATTTAAATTTAAACTACTTATTACTACAGCACTTCCCCAAATATTCTAAATATTCACCACTATTACAAATTTCCCCGAATATTCTAAAAGTGTGGCTATTGGGCCTTTAAAACCCTGATGGCACCAAAAAACTGCAAATTAGGATACGTTAACATCTGGACTTATTGCCAGCCAAGAGTATCTTTTCCTTCTATAATTCTCCATAACTTATTGAATCCACTCTACGTCTTAATTTTTTTGCTGCCCATAAATGCACTCTTCTGTGTTTTCCTTTGTAACTCAGCATAGCAGATTTTATATCTTATATATCATCTTCAAGTTGCAAGTCATACATTTCTCATCTTACACCAAAAGAAATCAAAAGAAACACACGCAAACAATTCTGTCCAATACATAGTAAGAACATTTCAAATGGCTTGTGATCAAACATGTTTATGCCTCCAGGTAGATATTTTTCAAGATAATGGGGGGACAACAGGAAAAATGCATGGTCCTTGTTGGTACTGTATAGGAGTGGCAGCTAGGAGGAGGTTGGACACAGGAAGGTGTTGGGAAGATCATTCAAGGGATAAGCATGCCATCTGGATAGACAATGCTTGAAACCAAGGACATCAGCATGGGGGCTTATGAACAAGCCACACAGAAGAGAGGAAAGATCAGCAAAGTGCACGTTGACTTGCCTATTTATTTGTAAAACCCCGCTGGATTTTGCTGGAATAGCTAACACATTCAGGGTCCAATTCTCCCGAACCTTCCAGGTAGCAATCAGTAAATTTTATGAAATATAAGTCAGCATCAACATCTGTTGACGGACAGACGAAATGATTGAAGTCTGTGAAACAGCCCCCTTTTCCCAGTCAATTTATCACCAGCTTTGTCGGGTACTTAGGAGCCAAGGACTTGGCAGCACAAGGAAACAACAGCCAATCACTTAGTAGCCACCCATTCACACCCTAGAGCCAGCTATCAATGCCCCTGTTAGCAACTAAATAACCGCACGCAATCAGGCACCACATAAATACTGCACACATGGAATAGCCCAAAGCACACATTCTGGTAGAGAGAAGTGACAGACTCAGGTTGGATCCTTGCAAACTGAAACTTCTTTTTTGTAGGCTAACACTGTAGACTTTGTCATCAACAACACTGTAAAACTAAGAAAGTAAAGCAACTTCAAGTAGGCGATCAAACTCTTGTAGCTTCCACACACGTATCGAAACATCTACCTACCTCTACTTGAGATTTTCCAATTAAAACAAACAAACCACCCTCTATTTTATAAAACTGTTCCTTTGTATCTACTATATTCACTCACTTGTGCAGCTGCTGCTACGCTATGCTGATTCTGGCCAGTGGTGATATGGTGCTGTAGGAATGGTTGCTCCTAATAATGAACAGGAGAAGAGATCACTCTGCTGACTGTTAGCAGGACAAGAAACCACTAATATGGCAAACTGTACTCCGACTCATCCTCCTCTATAGAATAAATGGACTTCCCTTTTTGGTAAGAAAACTATTAAAATTACTATTATATTGGGGGAAAAATAACTGAAAACATGAACCAAAAGGCAGATACAGAGATTCCTTTGCAGAAGAGCCAGTAGGAGTATTTTTTCAGATATCTTTCTCAGACCTGTTAGATTCAAAGTGCACAGCTCTTTAATATTTAGTATAATATTTGCTTAAAACATAAACAAAAACCCAGGAAATAGTGGGTGTTAAAGAAGCCAGGCAGGAATTACAGAACATGCGGGATGAGGGTAACTAATCATACCGTTTGGTATGAGCAATTTTTTTTTTCTTTTGTTCAATCATGTTTGATTCTCAAAGATTACCTGAACAAGTTCCTACAGTTTTCTTGGCAAGGTTTTATTAAGAAGAAATGATTTTTCCATTGCCTCCTTCCCAAGACTGTGAGAAAGTAACTAGCCCAAGGTCCCCTGGCTGACTTTGTACCTAAGGCAGAACTAGAACTCACGGCCTCACAGTTTCTAGCTTGATGCCTTAATCACTACACCAAACTGACTAATGGTAGTTATGAGAAGGATAAATTTATTTCTCAGTAACTTGGCTCTTAATAGGCTTCTTACGAATAATTTCTGATAACTCATCCCAACTCCATCCTTCATGACAACAGCAATTACATTCTGGTTGAACATATCTGACTATTCTTATATCTCCAGCAGGATTATTTTTCTACATTATGTAAACAATATTTAATTTTGGTAGAGGCAGAAATCAATCACTGAAATAACAAGCATCTGGATGCTTTCTAGATGCACTGTAAAAACTTAACAAGAAAGATTAGACTATCACCATCTGGTCTTTTCAGAATGAAAGTTTAAGCACATTTCAATGTGTATGCATACCTAAAATTATATCTCACATTATCACAAATACAGAGACTTACCAGCCATTTTGTATATTCATCTAGAGCTCTTTTATCTTGTTCTTCTTTCTCAACTTGTTCTTCTATTTCTTTTTTCCTTTCTTGGATTTTTTCTTTTTTCTTTTGCTTCATGAATTCTTCTTTTTTCTCATTCCTGACAGTTAAAGAAAAAACTGTTTATAATTTAGGAATTCCCCCTCAGATTAAAATATTCTTTATTCTTAATATTAAAAGAGGCAGGATAGAATACTTCCCAAAAGCAGAAATGAAGAAACATGTTCTTAAAGGCAGAAAGTAGCCCCCGTCTTCCTGCCGTAGTAAAACAGCCTCAAGCAGAAGAGAGCATGTTTCTCCTTTTTTCATCCAGAAAAGGACAGAATATAATATTCTGTCTTTTTAATATTTCCTAGAATATTTCCCTTTTCTAGGGGAGGGGTGGGTGCTAACTTCGTATAGGGAAATAACTTTTTTCTTATTTGCTTTTCTTATCCTATCAGTAGTCAGTAAAATTACTATGAAACTAATCCTGGAACAATATAGGCATTTTTCAAAAATAATGTGGTCTTTTCATCACTGGGCCCAATGCTGTCAGAATGTTTAGATATTGTAAAACAAATGATAAAGGTAGAGTCTCCATGCCCCTCACATGACCACCAAGCCACACCCACAAATTAGGCCACGCCCACAGAACTCGCTAAGTGGTCCCTGGGATTCAAAGTTATGAGTTTGGTGGTCCCTGAAGTCCAAAAGGTTGGCGACCCCTGCTCTGGAGCATCTCAGTCACAAAACCTCAGAACCCTATTAAGATCCATCCATTCACCCAGCCAAGGTGTCCGTTGCGCCCCAGAAACATTGCCACGGTCACTGAAGTTTCTGGAAACTAAAAAAAACCTTCTTCCCTTCCAGTCAACCTTTATTTTATTTCCAGCGCCTTTTTCCTAGCTTGGAATTGAACTGGATTTTTCTTCCCACAACAACAGAGACAAAATATGCATTTTAAAAAATATAGTAAGATGTGTAACAAAGTTCTACATATGCAAAACAAACCTATTTGGAAGCTGACAAAATCAAACTTATAAAATCCAGAATTAAGCGTACCATTTTTCAACTGCAGATCTGCTGTCTTTTCTCTTCTCTGCAACAAGCTCCTTCTCCTTCTTCTTTTTTAACCCTTCAAATCTTTTCTCCTTTTGCATTTGCTGTTTTAAATACGCGGTTTTCTTTTTTTTCCATTTCTCAAAAGCCTAAAACACGCATAACAAACCCATCAGATTTGATCCAGAAATTTTTTATATTTTTTTCCCCACTTGAATTGGTAAAGAAAAAGGAAGTTTTAAATTGCCATGAAATTTAAAATTAATTACAGATAGTTCTCAGCCTACCACCGCAATGGAGCCTGCCCGTTGTGGTTGTAAGTTAGGATGATCATTCAACAAGACACCCAGGTGGCCGCCTTGCTTAACGATGCTCATCCCTGCTCTCCCTGATGCAGTTGTGAAGCCATGGCACAGGTCATTAAGTAGAGCATGGGGGTGCTTCAGGGGATGGGGAAGTCTCTGGGGAGTCTAGCGTAAGCCCAGGCCACCTGCCCCGGCCTCCAACTCCCCCCCCAACCCCAAGGCACCTTCATGGTCCATTCCCTGCCCCTGAGAGTCCCACAAGGTTCTCCTGCCACGCTGGCTTGGGCCTGCTTCTTAGCACACTTCGTCTGACCCCCCCCATCATGAATTGCTTATTCGTTTTTTGTATTATCTCGGAAGCTTTGTGTTAGGAAGGAGTGCGGGCTCTTCTGCCCTCAGCATCCCTGCAAGCCACCTGGCATAGTCCTGGAAGCAGGTGCCATTTTCATGGCAACTGCTCTGACGGTGGCGCTTGGTTCCTGGACAGAGCCACGCAGCCTAGGCATGCCAAGGAAAGGAACAAGCTCCACAGAGAGCTACACAAAGTAAATGAGGAGTTAGTGACAGGTGGAATCTAGTGGGGTAAGGAGTAAGCCCCAAGGCCAGTGTAGAGCAGGTGTAGACCAAGTGTAGACCAAGCCCAAGGCAGAGCAGGTTAGAGAGTAGATGGGAAGCCTGCAATTAGCTTTAAGATGAATTTGCCTGAATTTTGCTCACGTGGCCACGGGGGCCACTGCAGCAGCAGCAACTTTGAAACCAGGTTGAAGGTGGCTTTTCAAACATCCCTAACGTTAAATAGTTGCAAAGAGGGCGGTGACAAATCGAGGACTATCTGGAGAGCACTGATTATATATAACAGAGTTCAGTGTACTTATGATTTTTCACCCCATTTAACCTTTGCAAGATTAAAAACTACTGCCTTTTGGGCCTCTTCCTTTTTCTTCTCATTTAGTTCGGCTTCCTTCTTTTTCTTGGCTGCTTCCATTTTTTTTTTCTCGGCCAGCTGTTTTGCTTCTTCTTCTTTCATAGCCTTCCAAGCTTCAAAGGATGCAAACGCTTCTTCTCTTTTAGCAGCTTCTTTCTGTATGGAAGGCAGCATTGTAAATGTTGCATCATGTTTTTATTATGGTCATATACAGTAATAATCTTGCAGGCACGTTAAGTCGCTGGTTTCGTAAGATTATTTTTTTTACTTCAAAACACGTAACGTTCAACTCTCCCTACATTCAACACAGTCAAGCACGGATGCTGCTAATTTTGACCTATTTATCTGAACTGATATGGGTAGATATTAGCATAGATAAGAGTATCGAATAAGTCAAATAATTGTGACTTTCTTCTTTTCTTTCTTGAAGAATTCCTGCTATTTTGGAAAACTGGTCTTAGTCAACACACTCACTTCTAAGCTATTTTGTTCATCTCATATTTTATGCAGGGATACAAGAACATATAGCATACAAGGATAAATATACATTTGTACATTAGAAAACCAAGGGGTCCTGGGTGTTCTCTGAGCTTGATTTGTTTTCTTGCAGACATTTCATCACCCAGACTAGATAAGATCAGATGTACCTCATTTCAACCCTGAACTACAAATATTGTCCTTAATCAGAAAAGCTTCAGGTTACGTGAATATTAAGGTTATATTCAGGTTATATTCTATTAAATTCTTTTTTCCCCGTCCCCTTTAGTAAACTACCTTTAAGACTACAATAGTGATTTTTCTGTTCGAAACACACTTGTTCCTAGCTAGCATTGCTTATATTCAAGGCTGATCCATCCATGTTTCAGCCCAAAACATTAGGAGGGCAGGAAGTTAGGGAAGGTTGTTGTAGAGTTCTCTAGGGCAATCAACTGAAGGGATAGAGATTCAGGATTTGATTTAGGAAATAAGACTTCAACCGCTTCTTTGACATGAACACATTGGATGGATGCAACACTATTTCGTGAGGCAAAATGTGCTTTAGGGCCAATGGAGGTCCAGAGGTTTTCAGAGGTTTCTTATACTGTTCACCAAATGATCAGTTTTATCTTTTGGGTTTTTTTTTTAAGAGGAGTAGAAGTGGGTAGGGGGAGAAAGAGAAGGAGAAAGAAAAAGATCTATACGGTTTCCCATTTCCTTTAAGCAAATATAGGTAGTTTATAACAGGTTAAAAAAAAACACAATACAAGTTAAAAACCAATATACAAACATGTAAAAACGTCAATAATTTTAAAACAAAAAAACCATGATCAACATCCTGCCTGTTTATATGTTTAGAGCTGACACTGAGGTTTGCAATTCTGTGTATAATGATATAAACTTACATGCAATCCTCTTTGTTTGCTTCTTTATCATAATTAAATTTAACAATCTTCCTCCAACATCATTTGCATGAAGTCAAAAAGAAACAGGACATAACTGGAGCACTCATGGAATGACTTAATAAAACTTATGGTTAAGTTTTAAAACCAACCTTTTCATTTTTCTCTCGCAAGATCTTGGCCTTGGTTCTTTTTATTCTTTGTAATTCCAAAAGGAAGATTCTCTTCTTCTCCAACCAGTCCTATAAAGAGAGAGAAATGGAGAGCAATAACATATGAATTATAATAGATCACTTGTGTCAACCTTGTCATTAATTATGGCACATGATTTTATTAAAAACCTCACGTTGATTTTTGAACCACTCAGTAAATCATTTGTGAGGCATATAAGCTCAAGATGATTAAAAACAGTAAATCTGATTAAATGCTGTTTAAAACTTTAAAACTGACTTTTTAAACCTGTCCTTACTTATTCTTATAGTTTAATTGGAAGATTGTCTTTCTAAAACATTCTTAGAAGCCAAAATTGCTTTTTCTGCACATGAAGTGGCAACCCCCGCCTCTCTCCTTCCCTCACTCATCTCTTTCATCTCTCTTTCTTTCTCTTTCTCTCTCCTCCCACTCTGCATCCCTTCCTCCCTCCTTCTCCCACCCCCACCCCCTTGCAAAACTGGTCAAAGGCAGAGAGGGAAGCGGACAGAGCCGAATAAAGCCGAATCTCTCTCTCCCCCCCTCCGTATCTTTTTCTCTCTCACTCCCTGTCTCTGTGTCTCTTCTCACTCTCTCAGAAAGCCCTGCGTGCTCTCCTTGGGGCTCTTCGCTACCCCTTTTTCTTTCTTCCTTTTGGAAATCTGGGCTGACTGAAGAATGAGAGGAGAAGGAGCGGGAGGGAGAGAGGAGGGAAGCCTCCTCCTCCTCCCCGCTCCTCCTTCTCTCGTGCGCACCCTCCCAGCCCCAACACAGCCAGCTCCACGGCTTCTCGCTGCTCTTGCGGTGCTTTGTGCAGCACACTTAAATTTAGTGCACTTCACTCCATCCCCTCCTCCTCCTCCTGGAGCCCATTACAACATGGAGCATTGGCTGCAAGCCAGCCCAGCCAGTTTCTCAGGGCGGAGAAAAGTCACGCGTCTCTCACGGCAGCCGGGGTGCGCACAGCACCAACAAGGGCCGGAAGAAGAGGTAAGTAGAGGGGTGCTTCGCTCCCGCCCTGGAATACAGAATGAGACTCCATCTGCCGCTGTTGCCCTTCTCTTCTCAGGGAAAGCGAGGAGTGTGTGAGAAGGGGAAGGTGAGGGGTGGGGCCAGCCAGTGGTGGGATCATCCAACAGAGAGCCGCGGGAGAGGGCCCAAAGAGCCGCATGTGGCTCTAGGGCTGCACGTTTCCAACTCCCAGTCTAACCTAACAAAGCTCCTGAATTATATTTGGGGTTTTATGTGGTTTAATAGGATCAAAAATGACTTAACATTAAATGAAGAAATGTAAGACAATTTGGCACTTTTTTGTTTAAAAAAAAAAATGATATAGGAAGGCCAAATATTAGTGTTTTTTCATTCATTCATTCATTGTATACAGTCGCCAATCTGAGAATCATCTGACAGATATGAGAAACCCCAAAACTGGTACCTAACTAAATCTAGAAACTGCTAATTTGACAGATCTTCTCATAATATTAAATATGCTAAACATATACCTGGTAAACAGCTGCTCGTAAACTATCTGCTTTATCTAGCTCAGCGCTGTATTTTTGTAGATGCTTGTCGTCCAAGAACTTTAATGTTCCTAAATATTGAGCAGATGTACTTCTTGGGACAGGAGAGCATTTCCCTGTATTCTTCAAATATGTAGTGCTCACAGACCTGTAAAATAAAAGTATAATACTACATTATTAATCAGTTAAATAAACACAAGAGTGGTATTTTTTAGAAAATACATGCATTCTTAGGTTTATTACAGTCAGGGGTGGGATTCAAATTTCTTAACAACCAGGTCTGTGGGCGTGGCCTAATTTGTGGGTGTGGCTTGGTGGTCATGTGACTGGGTGGGCATGGCTTGCTGACTAGATGTGGCTTGGTGGTCACGTGACTGGGTGTATGTGGCTTGTATGTAAATATTGTAAATATTTATGTAAATATTGAATTTTTTATTTAAAAAAAGCGTCTTTCACCCAAAATCAGGCAAAGCAGCCAGGCAGATTGAGTTGCTCACAGAATCACAGATTCACTTAGAGATCTACTATTCTGCAGTCTGCTACCTGAGTCTGTCACATAAAATTTGCTTGCAAGCAAACCCACAAAATTAACTCACAACACACCATTATGTAAATATTGCATTTTTTATTTAAAAAAAGAGCAACTTTTACCCCAAATCAGGCAAAGCAAGCAGGCAGATTGAGTTGCTCCCAGAATCACAGATCCACTTACGAGATCGACCATCCTGCAATCTGCTATCTGAGTCTGTACTGAAAAATAGAAGCTTCAGTCCTAAGGAAGGCTCAGCTCTGCTTTTAGATTAGCTAAAAAGCAAGAAATCCAACCATTTCCTGCTTTCTAGCTAATCTAAATCTCCTGGCACAGCAGAACAGCTGATGGTCAGGGAGAAAAAAGGGAAAAATAGCAACTTACCAAATGCAGGCAAGTTTGATGGCGCGCATATACCAGGTAAGGAGTGAGTGGGTGGGAAGGGAGGGGCGGGGCCAGCCAGTGGTGCAAATCGCCAGTTCTCCGAACTGGGCAAATCATAACAACCAGTTCTATAGAACCTGACCGACCAAGTAGAATCCCACCCCTGATTACAGTCTTAAAAACACAACTGCAATACTGAAAGCACAATTCAAGAAACAAAAATATTACATCCCCCCTAATATATTTTTATATAGTCTATAGAACTCAGTAGGCAAGCTTCTTGTCCTCTGATTGAAGCTGCTGGAAGTTGCAAAAAAAACTGTTCACTCTGCCATCCAGTTGATTATTGAAAGGAGGAGCTGAGAAGAACATTATGACAGAAACTTACTTCTATGGAAGAAGAAATATAGAAGTCAACATTTCCACATTATCTGAAGAAGTATTATATGTCTGTGAACTAGAAATTGTCATTAGAACATTTAATCTACACAAGTGAAAACAGCTATCTTTTTTAATGTAACTATTTTATGTGGGATTAATTATATTATTTTTATATTATATGTTTATATATATAATATTAGCTATTCATGTAGTTTAATAGCAAATATGATCAGTGACAGGCAAACAAAACAAATTTAAAGGATTGAAATGTAGTAAGAGTAGCAATATAAGGGAAGGAAGGAAGGAAGGAAGGAAAAGAGTAAAAGAAAACTGGTGACAGCTGCTTCATGGAAAACCTAATATTTTCCTCCTGTGTATGTGTCGTGAATTTTTAAAGATTCCTTCCTTTTACTCTGCCTGGATTGTTCTTTCCATCAAATGGTTTGAACTGATTCTAAAATAAAAAATATTAAATAGGTTCTGTTCGGCAAAAACAATGATTCTGGGAAATACAGTAATATCAATCCTGAATTAAAACATATTTCAGAACATTGCTTTGGAAAATGAGTACTGCCTCTTGAGTCATCTAATTCACAAATCCGATTACATGGATTCAATTATATTGTCTGTAATTTATCCGAATATAAATTGTAAACATTTTAATATCATGCCACTTCATAAAGCATGTGTGTCAAATTATTGGTAACTGTAGAATATAAATAATGACGTTTCCTAACCCCAAAAGATACAATTATTCATATTTCCAAATAGTTACTTGGGAAAAATTAAATTTCCTACCTGATCTTAGCTTTTTGTGGAACTGCCTCTATCTCTTCACACTTTTCCTAATATAACAAAAACAAATTGGTTGTATGAGCCAGTAAAAACCCCAATTACCCATTTAGTGCCTATTCTGTGACGTTGGTGTATGAAATTAAAGGCCTAAAAAAAAGATGGAAAAGTTGTGATATACAATTTCCTTCACAGCACATACTTCAAGTCTAACAAGGTCCAACCTTGCTTGATGTCATTTTCTTTCCCGTTTTCAAATAGCCCTACAAAACAGGGCTACATTCCAAACTAGCCGTAAAGAGGGATTATAAGCGTTGCGTTATAAATGAGAAGAAATCAACTTTTTCTCAGAAAAGGAGTACTATGTGCTCATCAAATACAGTTATATTTTAAAATATAACCTGTTATGTCTCCCCTTTAAATGCAGGAGGGCAAAACGAAACAAGCAGTTCACAAACCAAAAAGCAAACTCTCCCAAAAGGACTGCGGAAGGGTTTTCAGTCCTCAGCAATAAATCCAAACTCTGTCCGGCAAACCTGACGTGGCTATCAATCCCAAAGCCTCAAAGAGTTCTCTCCGTGTGTTCACTCCCATAAATCACTTTGCTTCTGGCAAAGCTCGCCAGCCAAGCCGTTTCCTTTTATCCTCTATGAGGGCGTGTTAATCTCCTTAATTAGTCACTGGCTCGACGCCTCCTCCCTAATTGCGATTGACGCCTCATCCTATGTCTGTTTCTCACATCTAACCAGGTTCTTTCCAAAGACTCCTCCCCACTAGAAAACTCTCGCAAGTGTTCCTGGTTAGCTATTCCCGGCTGTTGCTCAGCCAGAGGAGAAGAATCAGAGGAGGTCGAAGGTCCTGACAGCTCTATTAAATCAGGTTCGTCTCTCCTAGTTAAATCCATTTCCTCATCCTGGCTACTATCCAAATCGCTCAGCAGTGCCGGCTCATAATTCACTGCCATTTCCTCTTCGCTTGAGCTCACATTTGCCAACGGAACAGATTCCAACTCCGGAGTCACAACAATAACCTATAATTGTTATGCTACTATTTTTTCAAGTACTTATTTTTGCATGAGAAAGAAAAGATCATTCCTTTAGAAACAAATACAAATACTGACCTTTGTCACTTAACATTACGAGATAGATCCAAGTTTAAGCTTGTAATCGTTATGTATAACTAAACGTATTGTGTATATCATATATGAACACTTTAACATTATGCTACTTCGTACAGCAATCATGTCAAGTTTTATCATCAATCATGATTCCTGCCACAAATACATGATGATGATCCATAAATGTTACCTTTACAAAATCCTTTGAATTATCCAGTATAGAATTTGAAGTAGTTAATGCTACTTTCTGTTCTGATTGATCATCTTTTGGTGTCTCAATAGAATTATTTTCAATGACACTGGGTTTTAACATCTGCACTTTTTGTTCTAGAAAGACTTCAGTTGGCTTATATTGCTTCTTAGTATTCTCATAAACTGTGGTCATCATTAATTCTATAACCGAAGGAGATTTTCTTTCATTCTCCAGCAATCTGAGATCATGGCAATTGTCAATTTCTTGATGTTCGTTATCTATTTTTAAAAGAAAAAGTTAAAATTATTAATTTTATTTAATTTTAAAGAAAATTGACAAAGATGATAACAAAATAATTCAGATGAATGTATGTGAAGCTGTATAAATCTATCTCAGAATTGCATATGCAATGAATATAAATCACACAAATTCCTCAGTACATATATATCTGCATACACCAGGAAATGAGAAAACATATTTGATTGAAGAGACAAAATAAATGAGATTAAGGGAGGCAGATACCTGTATATTTTTAAAAATATTTTAAATATGGTTTTACATTCTGTAAGCTGCCATGAGTCGCCATGGACGAATAGGCGGCAATATAAATTCAATAAATAATAATAAATATTTCCTCTACGTAAACACTATAAGGATAGCTTCCTTGTGTGTACAGTACAAAAAAAAATGCTTTTCTTTGGGTGTATAATCACCTACAAACTGTCTATATATGTGAGATAAATTCTGTTGAGCTCTATGAGAACCCTTCTTTGTCAGAATGGTAAATGGTGTGTATATGGTCTGATTATGCAGAAACCATGCTAAAATGATTAGCAATCATTTTATGATTTTAAGGATTATTCGTCTTAAGAAAATTACCTTAATAGCTATAATTTTGCCACTAATTAACATGTTAAGCAACTCCACTGGGGGAGTTAAATATAAAACAACAGTCTCATTGCACACAACGAATAGAATTGTTCTCTATAGGAAGTAGGGCCATAACTTTTTATTTTATTTTATTATATTTTATTTTATTTATCTATTCAATAAATAGGCAACTTGAGGGACCTTTCAGACATTCAATTAAAATACATTATAAAACATTAAAACAATAAATAAGGCACATACATTTAAAATTCAATTAAAGTAAAACTAACCAGGATGAAGAGTGAGGAGAAGGGGTCTACTCCATTAGCCACTTCCAAGTGCCGCACCCTAACTGGGGTCCAGATTAGTTGGCACAGCCATGTCTTCAAGGTCTTTTGGAAGGCCAAAATGGTAAGTGCAGACCAGTGGTGGGATTCAATTTTTATTTTTACTACTGGTTCTGTAGGCGTGGCTTAATTTGTGGTGCGTGGCTTGGTGGTCATGTGACCAGGTGGTCATGGCTTGGTCATGTGACCAGATGGGTATGGCTTTATGGTCACATGACCGGACGGGCATGGCTTTGTGGCCATGTGACTGGGTGGGCATGGCCAGGTGATCATGTGACTGGCAAATCAAATACAAGTGGTCCTATCTTAATGGCCAGCAAGTGTTCTAATTTATGACTGATCTCCCCAGAGCTACTTGACCTGTTTTTGGAGTTTTGACAGCCATACACGCACACTACACACTTCTAACCCTGCTATTCTATGATTCTGTAAGGATCTGCTGGAGGAAGGGGCTGGACTAGATGACCTCAGAGATCCCTTGCAGGCCAGCCCTAGACTGCTCTGCTGCTTCAAAGAGTCTTCTGAAGCCAGGGTTTGTGTCCTTCCTTCCTCTCCTTTTTTTTTCTCTCTCCCTCCCTCCTTCAATGTATTTATCTATCCATCCATATATCTCATTCGTCATCGTTCCAAAAGGGAGGGCAGGAACTCCCGGGACCGCTCGCTTCATCCGGCGGCGGCAGCGCTGGCCGGGCGGAGTCGGCAGCTACCGAAAGCAAGCAGCACCAGTGAGTTCCCGGTAGCTATGGGGAGCACCTCCGCCACCCCTCCCAGCCCCAGCGCAGCAGAGAAAGCAAATGGCCGTGACATGCTCCAGCTGCCACCTTTGCCGCATCACCCTGAGGCTCGGCAAAGGCCCCAGATCGGAAGCATGGCAAGGCCCTGGGTCAGCGAGGGAAGGCCCAGGTTGGCGACATGCGTGATAGGGACTGACCGTGCAGGTAGCAGAGAAGCAGGGGGAGGGGGAGGGGCCAGCCAGAGGCGCGACTTACCGGTTCTTCGAACTAACGGGAACCGTAACAAGCGCTTCTATAGAACTGGTCTGAACCGGTAGAATCCCACCCCTGCAACCATTCCAAATTTTCATAGCAAAATACCTCACTTTGCTCTAGAATCACAGATCTAAGCATTTAGGTCTATTTATAACCAGCAAGTGAATAACCACTTCTTGTATAGCAATTAGACCCTTGACTTCATCAGTGCAAAACACAAAGAGACCATTTGTAAGACAGGTAGCCACAAAGCCATGATTTATATTTAAACCATGAAAACTGGCTTAATGATGTACATCAGCAGCAACATAGGCTTTTTATAACAGAAATTTAATTTTAGAGTAAAATAAAATAGAATATAAATTAAACACAGAAACACACAGAGAGAAAGATAATTTGGTTTGTTTATATTATTAGATAAAAAAACAAGCAGACACATACTGAAAGTACAGGAGCTTAATTGTTTAGTCTCCTTTTGGAAAATGTAGGCTAATGGCCAGAAATTACTTCAAGGAAAATTGCACTAGATTCCTAATAGTGATTTAGACCTAAGCGGTATTGGAAGAGGACAGTCTATATATGGTTTGTTGGATGATCTCATGAGGATGAGTGAGATGCTTGGGTTTTAATTTTGTTTTATGGTTTTTATTGCAGTTGCAAATCACCTAGAATTATACTGTATCACGGGAAGCCACATAGATATTTTAAATAAATAAATAATTAAAACATCCTATATATTATAAATAATATTTTAAAGTATTATATCTTCATATACTTCACCTTTAGAAGAGGTTTCATTTCCAGATATTGCCAAATTGGCATCTCCAGTTTTCTCTTTTACTGATGAAAAATGGATAGGTGATGAGGCTGACGAGTTTTCAATCAAGGGGCCCTAGAATGTAAAGAATCTTGGATATCTTAAAATATATATGCAAATGTAACACACAGATATAGACACATCCATATATGCACACTAAATGGGCAAAAATAAAAGAGGAATGAAATGCACAGAACAGAGTCAATAATAATTACATGAAGTATATTTATCATTAAGTAGATTAGTTGGCTTAAAATCTGAATCAAGTCAGATTAAAATGTGGATCTGATTCTTAATAGTCAATTTTCTTGGGGTATTTTGTACCGCACGTAAAAGTTATAATACTCCGCTAACCTCAGCACCAGGACTTTCAGAAAGCGCTCTTCTTTCAGATTTCGTCACCTGATCGTTTAATCTTGTCTCAGAAGATGGTGCAGATAATGAAAACAGCCGGTGGTGGTTAGGAATTCTTCCCTCTGACTTGGTTCCTTCGTAATCTTCCATATGGCTACTTTTCCTCAAAATACTTCTAGGTTGAGGGGATGGCTTTGAAAAATCATATAATGCAGGGATGCTTATATTTTCAGCTGAGAAAAATATAAATATTTAATTATTACCTCCTTCTAAAAAGGTTCATTTAGATTAAATTTCAATCCCACAAATGCTGCCTTCGGTTAGCTATACGCTGTAGTTAGAATTTCAAACATCTGCTAATAATATGTGTCCAAAGGGTCGTTATATTCTGGGACTTTCTGATAGATATGAGATTGCATTTACTTCTAAAATTCATGTCTTTGTATCAGCAAGCAGGCCTTTTTTGAAAGTAATTAATTTCTGCAGTAGCAATGCTAATCTCCAATTCAGATAAACCATCTGTTCCTCATTGCTCCTTATATATTGGGTGAAACTTCAGCAACCATATAAAAGAAAAAAGAAAAACACCAGTTCTATAATTCTACATGACATGGTTGCCTTGTAAGCTTGCTCCCTTCTTCACAACCATAAATAATTCCTTAAATCCCTCCTCCCTGCCAAATTAGGTATTATAGCTATAATCTGATATCTTCTCTGGCTAACAGTGCTAATACATCATGGTGCAACCATGTTGTTAAGGTTAATTTAGCCACGAAGTTAAGGTTAATATCTTTGGTGAAACTAAAGCCACCTTTTCTACCCAAGGTGTTAAAGTCAGGCTGAATCCTCACTTGATTATTATTCACCATTTTCATTAACAATGTTGTTGCTAAAACCATAATTCTAACCTCCTTCCCTCTTGCCTATCCCTTCATCTTCATCTAATACAGCTATAGAGTTTGTAACCCAACTGGATCTTAAAGTTTTATCATTCTGCTTCTCTAGCAAACACTTCAAAATAAACTAATCTTAAAAAAGAAAAAAGGATTCCAATACAAGGACTCTAGAATAGGGGTGTCAAACTTAAGGGCTCCGGGCCGAATCTGAGCTGCGTGATGCTTAGATCTGACCCGCAGGTCTGCACTGGAAGCAGCAAAGGACCGGCCTGTGGTGCCTCTGCACGTGAAAATGAGCTTGGGAGGACCGCAGGCAGCCCCGAGTTCCGTTTTTGCTGGCAGACGGTTGCAGGAGGCTGTTGCAGCCCAAAACGGAGCTCAGGAGCCCGTTTTTGCTGGCAGTATGTTCAGGCCACCACAGGGACCCCAAACATGAGTGACATCGAGCGGGCCATGCCCCCCCGGGCCCGTCGAGGTCAAACACAACCCTGGCGTGGCCCTCAATGTAATCGAGTTTGGCACCTCTGCTCTAGAAAATGCTTTAAGGCTCCAATTAGATGGATGAACTCCAATTAGACTCATTGAGCCAATAAAATCATTTAATTGTCTAGGTGGTCTATTTTCACTCTTATATCTGCTGGGCTATTAAAACAAGATAATTTCTAGCAGAAACCCCAAAAGCTTCTCTTAAAATTGTCGGAAATGCAGGTTAATTTGGTAGTAATTATTTTTCAATTCTTAAACTATTAAAAGCCAACATTCTCCCAGCATTTTGTTCTATGGTGGTCACTAAGTAGTTAGATACTATATGAAGTTCAGCTAGTTTACAGTTTAAAATGTACTTTCCTAGTTCAGTGCTGTTGTAACTTGAAATGATCACTAAATGAACTGTTGTAAGCCGAGGACTGCCTGCAGACTGCAGCCTTGTAAGCGATCCTACATTATATCACGTGGCAAAATGGCCATGCTTTAATTTGCAAACAAATTAACAACAAAACTTACTTTGTCAAATAAAAAGACCATGATTTTTCTCCCTGTCAAATACACATATTCAAAGAATTAAAATTGTCTTTAAATAGAAAAAAAAACAGTTTATCAAACTATTTTGTTTTAAAATATTTTTAGCAACCTGGGAATTACACAATTTAAGCAATAATATTTAAATACATTTCCTTTACCTGATGCTGACGCAGCCTTAGTCTTGAACCCCCTTGGTTTTGGCACCGGCTTGCTTTCGGTTTCATCCTGGACCGTATCCTTTTCCTCTAGTGACAATTCACACCTAATTGTTTCCTCTGCATGATTGTCGTCTTCTTCACGATCAGATCTTTCTTCAATAACTGTATCATCTTCGGTGTCTCTGACCAAATGTTTATTTTCTGATGTGGTTGCTTCTTGAGGCATTTCTTCATGGTTTGTTAACGGCAAGTTACCAACCGTTTGCTTTCCAAAAGAATAGCGATTTGACAACGATATTTCAAATGGACTGGATTGCTTTGCCGTACTCCTTTTACATGATCTAGGGTGTTCAGTAAGCGAAAAGGGAATAGTTTGCCTCTCTTTGCTCAAAACTTTTCTCTCCAGAATGGAGACATATTGAGATCCCTCATATTCCTCTGATGAAGACAAGTCATCGGCACTTTCACTTTTTAAAGCGTTACAAAGATTAAAGTTAGATGGTGATACTGTAAAGACTGCTGATTTAGGACAGATGTTTTTTTCAGATTCAGGAAATTCCTCTTCTGAGTCTGGAAAAAGATCGACATGTCATGTGTAAAAGAAAGAGCAACAGATGCAAAGTTAAAGAATGATTTTGACAGCAATGTGTACTTCACACTTTTTTTCACCCTTTCTGGTGCCAAGCATAAATCAGCTCACTACCTCTTCAAGGTGATAAATAAATTATGTGAAACAAATTGTCAAAACATGGTATGTTGCAATTCAAAGCATAATTTTATCGGTGAACCAATTAACATAAATTGTACATCTTGTTATAGTTCAGTATCAAAAGAGAGTATTCATGATATCATTTTCAACCAACCATTCAGTTTATCTAGCCACCTATCCCACATTCATGATTCTGTGCGTCTAACAATTGAAGCATAGAGAATATAATAAAACATTTTAAGAAGCAACCATACAAACGATACAAATGCTGAACACAATTAAAAATCATACAGCACAATCACCCGGAGTCCTGTTGCTGGATCTACCAGATAACACTCTCTAGTGGACCAAACCTGTTAACAAACGTCTTCTGCTAGACTTGATGGTATAGATAGATGTCCCTGTGGAAAGGTGGACCCGCAAATAACTTGGACCCGTGCAGATTGAGTTGCTCACAGAATCACAGATTCACTTAGCGATCTACTATTCTGCAATCTGCTACCTGAGTCTGTCACATAAAATTTGCTTGAAAGCAAACTCACAAAATTAACTCACAACACACCATTATGTAAATATTATAGGATTTATAGACTATTACCAATATCCTGAATTAGCCCCAGGAGCAAGCTGGTAATCAATGCAGTTTGCAGAGCAGGGGTGTAATAGGTACAGATCTAGATATGCACATCACTGCTTCATTTTGCAGCACTTGAAGCTTCTGAGCACAGCCCGAAGAGACCCCCAGATAGAGTGCATTGTTGTAATCCACACAGGAGGTGATCAGGGCAGGAGTCACTAAATGCGGAGCCTCTTGATTCGGGAATAGGTACAACTTGCATATAACTCAAAGCTATTCTTTGAGCAGGAGTTTTAAATCCAGGACTGGGCAGTCTGGAGAAATGCAATCCAAAACCAAAGTGATAAATTCCTAAAACTAGCTGATCCTTTGTCTTGGCAGAGTTGAGCCTGTTGCTCCCCATCTGAATCTGTTCAACCTCCAGACACTAAAACGGGATTTCGGAAGCATTGCTTGCTTCACTACATAGCTGGCTATCAGCATTTACTCCACAGCTATGAATGGCCTCACTGAGCAGCTTCGTGTAAAGGTTAAACAGGAGCAGAAAGATGACCTAATCATGCAACACCCCTCCCTCTGGAAAGGATCTCTAGCCCTCCATGAACACCAACTATATTTATTTTAAAAAATATATTCAAATGTATTAAAAATGAAATCCAGAGAGTACAACGGTTAAGTCTTCCTCAACGTACATTCGTCACTTTCAAAGTCTTCTGAATATTCTTCAGTCTCCTGCTTTATTGCACGAGCAAGAAGTGCTTCTTGTAGCTCGTCCTATAATATGTTAATACATAGAAAGTATTATTATGTGAATAAAAACATTATTCAAATATTTTTCGGAATGAACTCAACAACAGGAGTGTTGCAAACTTTAGAGCCGATTCAATTTTTTTTCCTAAAAAAAATTAATCCAGCTAATTATTATATCTTTCAATGTATCCTTAATTTTGGAATATGTGTGTGTGTGTGTGTGTGTGTGTGCGTGTGTATACATATATACATATACACACATATATATACATAAATGCACACACATACATATACATACATACACACAGACACATGAGATATAGATATGGAATATATAGCAATCATATTATCTATTATATTGTTAAAAAGAGGTGAAAGAGTCCAATTGTAACATCAAAGATATTGCCAGTTCTATGGAACGTAACATGAATTCACACGTGCAACGTTCCAGGCTAAAGAAGAAGATAGCTAATCAGTTTCCACAATATGAGTTTGAACATCTATCCACCATTTTTCAAGAACTGCTTTGAAGTCCCAAATGTCACTGATAAAAGTAAGTAAGAAAAAGACTCCCAAAATGAAATATACAGAAGAGAGTAACTAGATCTCAGAATAAACACGGAAATTGCTTGGTTGGAAGAGAAACCAAAGATTTCTGAACTCAAAAGGAGGCTCCAAACTCAAATGGGTAAGTTAAATATGCCAGTGGATGGTCGTTGATTTAAAGGAGATCAAATGAAAATGGAAGGAGTATACTGAAATATTGTATAGTAGAGATGTAACCTCCAAGATACCGTAGAACAGGGGTCGCCAATCTTTTGGACCTCAGAGACCACCAAACTCATAATTTTAGATCCCAGGGACCATTAACTGGTTCTGTGGGCATGGCCTAATTTGTGGGTGTGGCTTGGTGGTCATGTGACTAGCTGGGCATAGCTTGTATGTAAATATTATAAATATTTATATAAATATTGATTTTTTTAATAAAAAAGAGCAACTTTTACTCAAAATCAGGCAAAGCAGGCAGATTGAGTTGCTCACAGAGTCACAGATTCATTCAGAAATCTATCTATCTGCCATTGGCTAGCTCAGTCTGTCACATAAACTTGTATACTGCTCACAAAAGTACACCATGAGCAGAATTGTGCTCCAGATTGACAAAGGAGTGTGACAAAGCTGTATATTCTCCCATTATTTATTCAACCAAATACTGAATATTGCTAAAGAAAGCTGTATTGGAAGAAGATAAACATGGGCTTAAAATTGGAGGAAAAAACATCAATAATCTGGGCTATGAAAATGCAAAGGAGCTACAATTTCTAGTAATAAAAATCACAGTGCACAGGGAAAAATGGAGTTAAAATTAAATATAAAAAGGACCAAAATAATGATAATGTGCAACCAACAGCTTTAGAATTGATAATGAAAATATATATGATCATCAGCCGTAAAGAGATAAACGGTCAAAAACATGCTACAGACCAAGAAGCAGTCATGAAGGCTTGGAAAAAATGAGAATTGAGTAAGCCATAGTATTTCCAGTGACCCAATATGGAAGCGAAAGTTGGACTTAGAGGAAGCATGGTAGGAAGAACATGATGCTTTTGAAAATACTGTCGAGAACCAAGAAGACAAACTAACGGATCACTGAACAAGTAAAGAGATTTCACTTTGGGCACAAATAACTAAGCTGAAATTATCTTACTCTGAACACATTATGCAAAGACCTAGCTCTCTGAAGAAGAAGACTCCAAGGCTGGGAAAGGTGGAAGGAATGAAAGAAGAAAGAAGGGCAGCAAGGTGAGTAGACTCAATTATCTTGGTGGTGAGTGAACCACAGGACACGAGTTATTACTATTTCACTGAAAGATAAAAGATTAAGCTAGAGACAGGTGGTCATGGAGAAAATCTATACGGTTGTTGAGAATCAACAATGTCTTGATGACTCATAATTATCAATCCATATATACTTTGAGAAGTTTGGCACTTACCTATTTCAGACATGATGAAATAACCACTGGTATTTTTAAAAATACAAGGTGCTGACTACCATGCCATTGCTAAGGAAAACTTGAATAGTGGTTTTCAGCAGTTGGACCAGTTTTTGCACAGCTGCTGTAAAATGTAATTGCTTTCTTTTGAGATTACAATGATTTTATGGTGATTTTACAATGAATTGGTTCCCTCTCAAATACTTCACAATCAGTAAGGTCCCTTGATCAAAAATAATAAAACAAGACATAATATATGTATGTAAGTATGAAACAGTTTTCCTCATCATTTAAGTAATGATCGGGATATACAAAACAGTTTAAAGAGGTGTTTTGCAAACTATGTTAACATTAATAAAGTGTCTCTCTTCTAGGTGTTAAAAGTACCTGCATTGTTTGTGTGCAGACAGTGGGACCATCACTGACAATTCTATGAGCCTTCGAGAGAATGTCAAGTTAGAATTGATAAAGAGTACTTTTGTCAGGCTAACAAGTTTTATGAAAGCACCTCTTTCAAATGCTTTGAAGAACTCAAATTTCTAATAACAGGACAAGAGTAGTAACATTATTTTACCTGAAAAGTGGTTCTTTTGGAGAACTTGGGGCTCTTGGTATAGGCTAAAGTAGTGATAATCTCTTCATCAGACATGTTGCTTGATCTGAGGACATTAACCTTACATATTCAACTTGTAGCCTTGTAAAGATGTATTTTCTTTTGAATTTAATAAAAGAAAGAAAAAAAATATTTAAATGATACTGTATTCACATTATCTAAAGGAGTATAAATACTGTTTTCTTAAAAACATCATACACTATAATCTAATTTTTAGCAGGTTAAAGTTGCCGTGACAAATTTGTGAAGCGCAAAATGGGATAGTAATTTCCACACTGCACTGCTTTTGACATGGCACTTTATGGCATCTACTCTCCCATCTTGCCCGGTTCAAACAAATCTGTTGTTTTCAACATACTTGTAATTGCCCAGCCTATGAGATGTTCTTTAGACCAGTGGCCCCCAACCTTTTTTGTGCTGCGGCCCGGTACCGGCATCACAAAATCATCTGCGGCCCGGTACCGGCATCAGCACGCATGGCAAGGCGAGCTGAGCGACCAGCCAGCCAGCCGTCCCCCGCTTCTCCCCACCACCTTCAACTCCTCCTTTGTACCCGTGTCGATGGGCTTCGGGACGGCTTCGGGACGGTCGCTCGGCTCGCCTTGCCATGCATGCTGAAAGAATCCTCGCACCTTAGTTTTATTCGAAGCCGCCCCCCTCCCTCGATGAAACTAAGGCGCGGGGATTCTTTCAGCACCCAAACGCCGCTTTCTACCCGGAAAAGCTCACCGGAAGCACTTTTTCATCAAAACAAGATGGCGGTGCCCAGCAAACCAGTGGTCCGGTAGAAATTGTTCCACAGACCGGTACCGGTCCAGGGACCGGTGGTTGGGGAACCCTGCTTTAGACCATCACTCATCTTTGCTGAGATAAGCTTGCTGGATTGGGTGAATCCAGAAAGTGGCAAATGTTTCTTTGTGTGATGGAGTGGGGCTACTAGCCTTAAAAGAAGCAATGCTAATTCCAAATTACATAGATTTAGCATTCGTGAGAGATACTACTAAAACAAGTCTCTTGAGTGTGCATCAGTATACAGTCCTCACCTTATGACCACAATTGAACCCAAAATGTATTCTGTTAAATGAGAAATTTGTTGAGTTTTACCCCATTTTACAACTTTTCTTGCCATATTTGTTAAGCGAATCACTGCAGTTCTTAAATTAGTAACATGGCTGTTAAGTGAATCTGTTTCCCCAGTGACTTTGCTTGTCAAAAGGTCGCAAAAGGGGGTCATCTGACTCCAGGACGCTGCAACTGTCATAAATGTGAATCGGTTGTCAAGCATCCAAATGTAAAACACATGACCATGGGGATGCTGCAACGGTTGTAAGTGTGAAAAATGGTCATAAGTCATTTTTTTCAGTGCCATTGTAACTTCCAACAGTCCCTAAATGAACTGTTGCAAGTATTTAACAAAATGAAATTCAATGCAGAGAAAAGTAAAGTCCTACTGTTAGGATAAATGTGCAGAGTAACCCTTGTATAAAAAAGATATGCACACGGAAACGGTTTATGACAACAGTTATGAATAAATATACAGTCACACAGAGTTGAACAAGTTATATTAATTTTTACTTGAAGAAATAGCACAGCCCAATAAACAGTCCATGTCATACACATTTTTTATCAGCCCAGAAGTATCCAGTTATAAAGTCTTCTTACCAGTTTCAAGTCTTTTACAGCAAACAAATATCAAACCATAATACAACAGATAATCTTCCATATCAACAGAATATCAAAATAAACAGTCAGTATTGGTCCGTAGTCAGTTAATATCAGTTTTAAGAGAGATCATCAGTGAAAAAGAAGAGAAAGAGAATTAAACCATGATCTATAGCTCCCTCTTATGGCAACTTGTAGCATAATTAACCAACCAGAACACAGCGTAATACATTACAGTATTTTTCCTTAAAGCTATAAACATATATTTGTAGTTTATATATTGTCAACCCAACTATGTTATTTACATATACATAACACCTACACTTAGGCAAGAAAAACCAAATGTACACATATAGACTGGGTGAAACCAGGCTCAATAGCAGGAACTGTGAGAGGGATCTTGGAGTCTTAGTGGACAACCAGCTAAATATGAGCCAGCAGTGTGCAGCAACAGCAGCCAAAAAAGCTAATGCAATTCTAAATTGCATTAACAGAGGGATACAATCGAGATCAAGTGAGGTACTAATGCAACTTTATAAAGCGAGAGCTTTATAAAGACCACATCTAGAGTACTGCAGTTTTAGTCACCACACTATAAAAAAAGATGTTGAGACTCTAAGAAAAAGTATAGAGAAGAGCAACCAGGATGATTAGGGGACTGGAGGCTAAAACATACAATGAACGGTTGCAGGAACTGGGCTTGGCTAGTCTAGTGAACAGAAGGACCAGGGGAGACATGATAGCAGTCTTCCAATATTTGAGGGGCTGCCACAGGGAGGAAGGGGTCAAGCTATTTTCTAAAGCACCTATAGGCCATACAAGGAATAATGGATGGAAACTGAACAAGGAGAGATTTAACCTGGAAATAAGGAGAAACTTTCTGACAGTGAGAACAATCAACCAATGCAACAAAAATTGCCCTTGGAAGTTGTGGGAGCGCCATCACTTGAGACTTTCAAGAAGAGATTGGACTCCCATATGACAGAAATGGTGTAGAGTCTCCTACAAGAAATGGTGTAGAGTCTCCTACAAGATCCCTTCCAACTCTGATTACCTGTTATCTGTTAAGTTGAGGACTACCTGTACTGCATGTATTTATTTGGGAAGGTACAGAAAACAGCATGACTTGCAAATTAGTCTTTCAATTAAAGATACCAGTTGGCATAAAGATTGGACCTTTAGCCATGCTTACGCAATAGTGGTCAAAATGTATTAAACCTGATTGGTATTACAACCTTAACAGTTACCAGGAAACGCTGTGTGCATGGCTATAGCTGGAAACTATTATATCTTATTAAAATGATTTATGCATCATTCATCAAAGTCATAATGAGTAGTCAATATGCATGTTCTGTTGAGAATAATGTAGAAAATTACAAATAGAACCATGGACATGGGTTGCAAGTAGAAAAAGATGTACAGGTATAGTGGAGAATAAACCAGAGTAAACCAGACTTAGTTTGATTTCATTTTTTTCTTTTATTTCCTGTTTTCTTTTATTATATGTTTACACTTTTTCTGCATTATGCATAAAGAAAACATTTATGCATGTATCACAAATCATTGTCCCTCTTTTTATGCAGAGGCAGATATTTTTGGAAGAAATTCATTATCTTGACCCATTTCACTCTTGAACCTCTCTTGAACCTACTGCATCTCATAGATATGTCCAGCTCTATTACCATGGTATCCTTCTGAATAATCTATGTTCTAGAGATTAGATGCACTGGTTTCTTATTTGCACGGATGATTTTGGTAAATAGTAATGTGACTCCATCATTTATTTTTAATTTATTTATTTATTTGATTTGATTTGTCAATCGCTTACAAGATAATAGGTATAAGTACATACGTAGTTATGAAAACATGAAATGGGTACATATAAGAAAAATAAAAGAAACAATAGGACAGGGACGGTAGGCACGTTGGTGCGCTTATGCACAGACCTCTTAGGAAATGGGTGAGGTCAATGGTAGACAGTCTAAGGTTAAAGTTTTTGGGGTTTGGAGAAGAAACCAGAGTCAGGTAGAGTATTCCAGACATTGACCACTCTGTGGCTGAAGTCGTATTTCCTGCAATCAAGTTTGGTGCAGTTAACTTTGAGTTTGTATCTATTGTGTGCTCTTGTGTTGTTATGGTTGAAGCTGAAGTGTAATAAAATAAAAAGAAACAATAGGACAGGGACAGTAGGCACCTTGGTGCGCTTATGCACACCCCCCTACAGACCTCTTAGGAAAGGGGTGAGGTCAATAGTAGACAGTCTAAGGTTGAAGTTTTGGGGGTTTGGGATTTGCCCAGTCTAGGAGCAGTACTATGAGATTCATTGCTATATTTAGATAATTCATTACTTGCATTATTTTATTAATTTTTTTACAAATGCAATTGTAAAATCTCATCGCTATCTATAGAAATTATGAGAAGCATTGTTTCTTATGCAACCATGGGAACACGTTGTATTATTCCATCATTCAGGACAATGAGATGATGGTATACGAAGCACCGATTCTTAAACTTTTTGACCCCCAATGACCCTTTTTTGGTCAACAATAATGCACTTTAACACCTGCACACCCCACAGACACGGACTGGTCTTGTTTTGCAGGTGCCTTCCAGGCAGCACCAGTTGCAACCTGGATCCTCGACGCTCTAACAAGCAATTATTGCAAAAGGATCCCCTTAGGACCCCAGCATCCCGTTGGGCAGTTTGAACCATTATAAAATCCAGCCCGGCTTTGACCTCGTTTCTTTCCAAGGAAGAAAACTTAAAACCATCGCTTGCTCTCTTCCCAATTCTGCTGCCGAAAAGTACCCCGGGTTCGATCCCCGCCAAAGCAAGAGCCCTTCCGTTTTTTGTTTTTTTTTCCACAGAAAGACTCATCCTACCAAGGCTCCGACAGGTAGGAACTTTATCCGGTTAAGTTGCCCTCCCTGCCAAAAATTGGTCCGCCCTTCCAAGAGTCGCCGAGGACAGCGCCGCGGTCGCCGGACTGTCTTCTTCTTTCACACGCCCCTTACCTCGCCTCGCAGGAAAGGTTTGTTTTCGAGCCTCCGTTCCGATGGTTGAGCGGCACCCACTAACGATCTTTCTCCTGCCCCGGCTTGCAAGGGGTATGAAAGGACAAAGGCGGCCTCGGCTCGTGTAGGCCTCCGCGCCATAGAGGTAACCTAGCAACCGCTAGCGCGCGGTAGGCCTTCCACTCCATAGTGGTAACCTAGCAACCCCTAGCGCGCGGCTGCTTGACGCGCACAGACCGGTTAGGATTGTTGTTATGGCAACTAAACCCCCCGCCTCCGTTTCCGGATGGGGTTTTAATTGACAGCTTTTTCAAGGGGGCGGATGCTTTGCTCTCAATCTTTTTCTCTTTCGGAAACTT